AAAAGGGGATTTTATTGATATTCTAAAATCAGAATAGAGTTATCATTTTCGGACCAAGTCCTGAACCAGAAAGTTCGTCTACACCTGCAGCTTCTAGCAGCTCCCTTCAGAAGCAGTCTTCTACGGTTCTGCTCCAGACAGCTCTAAAGGTTCATCTACACCTACAGCTTAAAGCAGTTCCCTACAGAATCAGCATTCTACAGTTCTGCTCCAGACAGCTCTAAAGGTTCATCTACACCTACAGCTTAAAGCAGTTCCCTACAGAAGCAGCATTCTACGGTTCTGCTCGAGACTGCTCCCTGTTCTGAAGACTCATCAATTCCAGCAGTTGAAAAGCTCCCTAAATCCCCCCACAGAAAGTAAAAACGCTCCTATATATTCCGTAACAAGTTTTTACCAATAAACATTTTTCAACCCCCACCATGTATCATTTAGTTAGACCTAAGGTTTAACAATAATTTCTAACTTTTCAACTTTTCATAAAAAGTCGCCCTCCCCCACAAAAACTGAAGTTGCACCTGTGTCTAAGAATGGCGTTGAATGGTGTGATTGTTTAAACCACTCTGCAAATGGGAAACCTAGGATTAAAAGTTCTCCTTAATGATGTCATTAACATTAATTCAACCATTCATTACAACATTTTATTCTTCTCAAGCAATACTTTCATTTTACATTCAACCTCCCCTCGCTCTCAAGTGTGTTGAAGAAATAAACTTGATGACTTGTCTTTCTATCCATATATCTATCTATCTATCTATCATCCATCTATCTTTCTATCTATCTATCTTGAGTTAGTATAAGTTACTAATGAATCTCTACAGCTGGCATCAGCTCTATTACTACACTGGAGCTCCAGATCTTTAAACCTTCAAGCTTTTTACTTCAAACTTAGATCTCCGTTTCCTAGATTAGATTTATTACAGCTTAAACTTGAGATCCTTCAGAGCTAGGATACTAATTTGGAAGTTTAGTTCAATTTTTAAAAATTATTAAACATCATTCTCAATTTCAAGTTAAAACTTAAAAGTGTTCGCGTGTGTTCCAAAGAATTAAAAGAAAAATATTCTTGTTATTTAGAAAGACCAGAAAGTATCTGAATGTGTCCCAAATACACTGGGGGTTATTTGTAAAGTTTTAAAAGTTTTAAAATTATAATTAAAGTTTCGATATTCTTTCTAACTTGTCAATAACAGTGCTTAATAATAAGAACTAGCAGAAGTGCCCGGCGTTGCCCGTGGAATTAAAAAAAATCAAAATTGAAAGAAGACAAAAAATATATTTTTTAAAAATATTGATGCCAGGGTGCTCAAGTGTTCCCTCAAAAAATGTTAGCCCATTTGGTCCAGCCGTTTGGCCAGCTGACTATGAAAAAAACATACATGCCGAATATATATATATATATATATATATATATATATGAGCGAAAAGCTTTATTATAAAGAAGAATAGATAACAGTGCAGTTTAAGTGTGTCCCAAGTGCCAACAACATATCTAAGAATGAAGAAATATTCTCAGATTCTTACATCTTCCAAAAATGTTTAAACGTGTTTTTTAATTTTATTCTTTTAGTTTTATTTTAATGCAGTCGTCGTCATACATATCAATACAATGAAGACGACTTTCGATTTTAATTTGGATTTGGATACACATTAACATGAAAATAAAATAAAGCTATCAAATAACAGCTTCTTTTTGTTTACTGTAAACTTTTAATTCGAAAAAAGCTTGTTAACAATCAACACTTGAATAGAAAAGTCGTCTTCATTGTATTGATATAAACGTCGACCACTGTATATTTAAATTTTATAAAAAAGTTTAAACAGTGCCTAAGGTTGTCTTGTAGCAACACCTACTCCATAACAAGTTCTCTGTATAGTTTCCGGACACCCTGTATAGTTTGCTTCATATTATCAATGAATAATGGAATGTAATTCAATGAATAATGGAATCTAATTAATGAATTAGATTAAACTTAAACATAGAAACGTCCAGGGAAGGGGGGTAAAGGGCATTGGGCAGGAAATGGAAGTTGGGTTGGGGGGGGGGGAGGGATAGGAAAGGGGGGAAGAGTAAAGTGTAACTTAGTTTCTCGCCTTCAGCTCCAATTGTCTAAATTCTAGCGTAGTTTGTCAACTTTAAGCCAAATATTCTAAACCATTCTGCATACATCAAGCATATTCAGGAGCACCAGCTTACCACGCCAACTTATACAAACAACATGCATGCAATCAATTAATCAGTTAATTAATTAATCGCTTAATCAATTAATCAATTAATCAATTGATCAATCAATTAATTAATTAATTAACCAATCAATCAATAAATCCATCAATAAATTAATCAACCAATTAATTAATCAATCAATCTATTGATCAATTATTTAACCAACTAATAAATTAAAGCATTTATTAGGTTAAACTAATTTTCTCTATTTTACTTATTTTTATCTTTGTAATGGAAAAAAGCTCTGAACCCGAACATCCAAATTGATACTTTTATTTATTGTTATTTTTACTATTAAAACAATATGAATGTGCGTAATTTGATTTAAGAGGATAAGAAGAATTATTACCCCCCATTAGACGATGCTTCCGTTTATTAGTTTTTGGTTGAAGATAATTTTTCATCTTTTAATTTAATATTTTGAGAAGGATTGGGAGGGGAGAAAGAGGAGAGGGGTAGGAGGGTTGGTATTGGGATGGGAGATGAGAGAGAGAGAGAGAGAGAGAGAGAGAGAGAGAGAGAGAGAGATTTTTGGTGTGAATATTGGCAATCTTGAATGCTTCATCTCGATATTCAATGTGGACTCTTTTAGTTTTGAGTATCAATGTTTGATATAGAGGAAGAATTTAGTAAATTGGTTTATGATTGCAGAAGATAGAGATCAATGTTTTCCAGATTCACAACATAAAAGTTATATTTTCCGGACGTTCAATTTCCTTTGTTATTATTAACGATACATAGGAGGTATAAAGTGTCAGTGTCACATTATAATAAGGTTATTTTGGGCAATATTTTAAAAAACTTATTTATTTTAGATATCAAAGATAAAGTTTAAAGATCAATTACGATCTGTAACTTGTCAGCCGTCTTTCAACGTCATACTTTGTGATTACAACAGCTAAAAATTCCTAGATAAATGTATAATATGTAAAATTATATAAATTATTTTGAAAATTAACTTATGCTATATAATCCAGTACAATGAAATCAATAAAATGTATGCAACCCACAATTTTTGCATTTATGTGCAATGTGCAATGTGCAAAATTTAGTAATATTTTAGGATTATGCTAGATATATATCTGATAATCTTATAGATATATATATTAATAAACTTAAATTTAGATTTGAAAACATTCTTGACAGACAGACAGACAGGCAGGCAGGTAGATGAGGATGGAAAGAGATAGACAGGTTTAAAACTAAAACATTAACCAACCTTTCAGAGTTAAATGAAAATTCCTGGATCTAAAGGATTATATTTATCTGAAACTTCTAATTCATTACTTTAAACAATTAAAGGGAGTGACCCCGGATATGTAAGGTAGTTAAACTGAGTATGCAGTGTTGGGAAATCTTCTTTTGGATTCATTTGAGACATATTAAACTTTAAAAAGATCTGTAAATCCTGAGTTTGAGCGCAAATTCGACGTTCAAAACTCCTGCTTTTGGGGGTGGAAACGTTTTCAGAATTACTTTTTTTTTAATTATTAAATAACGACAACGAAAAGTACAATAAAAATAATACAGAAATCTAATTAGTTGGGTAGGAACATATTTCTTAAACGAAATTTGTCAATAAATCAATGCTAAAATCGATTATTTCGTTTTCATTATTATATTGAATTTCTTGTTTTCTTTTTTTTATTCGCTGATTCCTTCAAATTCTTCAAATGTCGTCTTTTCAATAATAATTCTAGAAAATCTGGGAAAATCTTTGTAAATAATGAGAAAATAGAAACTAATAATTGAACAAGATTACATATTTTCGAAGATAAGGTCAATTTTTATTTTCTCAACATGTTCCTGTACATGACGTCTGTACTTGTAAAACTTTTTTAACATTTTATGTCGTCGTTATTTAATAATTTAAAAAAACTAATTCTGAAAACGTATCCACCCCCAAAGTAGGAGTTTTGAACGTTGAATTTGCGCTCAAACTTAGGATTTACAGATCTTTAAAAAGTTAAATATGTCTGAAATGAATATGAAAGAAGTTTTCCACAACACTGCATACTCAGTTCAACTACCTTACACAGCCGGTCACTCCCTTTAAAAGATAGATTAAATATAGATTCAAAACGGATTTGTGTTGAGAGTATTTTCCAGGTACATTAACCCTATAAAGCCCGGTGGGGGAGTCCTACACAATCTCCCCCCTCTAGAAAAAGAACTCAGAGTAAAGGTGTTTAATTGCCATTGCATGATTATATAGTCCATTTGATTGCATGATTATATAGTCCATTTGATTGCATGATTATATAGTCCATTTGATTGCATGATTATATAGTCCATTTGATTGCATGATTATATAGTCCATTTGATTGCATGATTATATAGTCCATTTGATTGCATGATTATATATTCCATTTGAAAATGGATTTTTACAAAAAAAGATCGTACAAATGTTAGAAAATAATTTAATTTGTTTTTAACAAATAGAAAGATATTACTCGTTGTAATATCAAATTTCAATGGCTTTTGCAAAAAGTTTTAGATTTTTAACTGAGATTAGCCGGCTTTTATGCTCATGCAAAACTGACTAGATCTAAGGATGTCGTGTTTTTTTTTTATCAACAGTCTATAAATAGTCTAAAATCTTACAATGTTTTTTTATTTAAATCTTTTCACACACTAACAAACGATTTCGTAAAAAATGTTTAAACTAAAAATATAACAATTAACAATAAAATATTGCTTTTATTTGTTGAGACGGGGGTAAATAATATATCTATTTATTTATTTAAAGGAATACAACGAATCTAAATCTAGAAAATGTAGATAGATTTCAAAACATAAAAACATTGATAAAATATTTAAACCTTTGAATTTTGTGAAATAAGCTTGGTTTAGATCGGTAAATTCTTAATATCTAAATAGAGTGTTCACCAAATTTAAACAAGGGGGAAAACTCAAAACATTATTATTTTTAATATTCCTTTGAAGATATTTTTATATGTATACCTCCAGAAAATGTATTTTCTAAAGAACGGAAGAGAAATATCAATCAAGTTTGTTGTGAAAATTCTTACAAAACCTCCATAAAAAGCTTTTTAAAAATTATATATTTTTGAAGAACGAATTTAAAAGTCCCCCGAGGATGAATGGCGAAATGAATTAATCTAGAGTATCATATTCATCATCTCCAGGTATTATTGGTTTCCTCTGGGTTGAGATGATAACTCTGTTACCAAACCTCATCCAGATACATTTCCAGATATTCTGCTGGATCTTGTAGTAATCCTGGAATACAGATTATATTACTGATAATAATAATAATAATAATATTAATAATAATACTAGTAATAATAGTACTAAGAATAATAATAATGATAATAATAATAATAATAATAATATTAGTAATAATACTGATAATAATAATAATAATAATAATTAAGTATGTTTACCGGGTATGGTGGGGCCAGCACCGCATCAAGCTTCTTCAGATAATCTGTGTAAAGAGCCTGGGCTTTCTCCAACCTGTTGGCCTGAAATAAATTAAAAACTGCCATCTTGAAAGTTTACATTTTAAACAAACAAAACGTTATCAAATATTAAGACCGAGGAGAATATTGAAGTGTCTCATGAATGCAACCCTTTTTTTTTTTTTTAAATAAAACACACTTATGCTTTATTTCGGCCTGAATATTAAAAATTTGCTTTTGTTTCACCGAAGTATTTGGGAAAATCCTGATCAACTTCCGCGCCTGTCTTCGCAATCAAGCTTATTTTCTAGCTGTACTGTAAACTATACACACAAGGTGAAGGTAAAATTTATGCAGTATTCCCGATACAACTTTGTGACCTCGTAGCTCCTACTTTTATCATTTTACACATGAGAAAAATAATCTTATCTACGCTGAAAACTTTAGAATGGAATAATCAGTTAATTAATCTGGAGATTAATAACACGAGGAGAACAAGCATTATTTAATCTTGAGATTAAGAAAAAGTAAGGATTAAGCATTGATCTCGATATCCACCATTCTAAAGTTTTCAGCTCTGTTTACATAATAATTCAAAACACTTTGCTTCTTTTTCATCGCTCTTCAATGTAAAATGTAAAAATTGAAAAAATTTAGAATTTCAATCTTGCAATTTACTTTAATTTGACACAGCTGCATAATGTAAACAAACTCTGTCTCTCTCTCTCCTTAGTTATATTCCTGGTTGTATAAAACATTTACCTCTAGTTCTGTGCTTGCACTTTCAGCAATTAGTTCTGTATCAGACAAATCCTTTAATCCCTGCAACAAAATTAATGAAAATTCAGCTTGGAGCTAGAGAGGATTGAAAACAAAATTCTCTAAATCGCTCAAAGAAACTGATCTAGTTTTCTGACCAAATTACATCTGTGATATTCTGATATAGCAAAGGTGTTCATAGATACGTTGAACATTGTTAACGAATTTGAAAAAGCAGCCTAGGTTGTCGTCTTCCATCAACAATCAATAAATACCGAGAGTACAGAGCAGAGAATTACACGCAGTACCACTGATTGTGAAAAAAGTAAAATAGAATAATTAATATTGGATTCCAAGTTTAAAACAAAATAAGAATTGAATTACAAATGCTTTGATTTATAATAGCGACATTGAATAGTTTTAAATAGGCTTAGTTGGGGTAGTATCCCATAGATTCTAAAAAAGTGTAATTTCACATTAGAAATTGAAGATAACACCAAAAAATAAATGTGCCTTCTCCCCCACTGAGTTATCCCCCCCCCCCTCTGTAGATTAAATTCTGTATTGATCCCATGTAGAAAGAGGTAAAGAACTAATTATTAGTAAATTATAAACCTAATTGAACCTCAATAGCATGTATTAAAGTTAATTTATTTTAAACCTGATTAATATAATGAGAAGGGTCTACCAGTGTGCAATAACGACAAATACAAAGGAAATTCTGAAGGTAATATTAAACTGTTTCCTTAACCCTAAATAGGCTGGCGGGGGGGGGGTTAGCTCCCCCCGCTCTTTGTTGTTGTCCTAGCACTCTCATTTTTGACACTTCTTAGCACACCTAGTCACATTTTCTTACATTTAAGAAATAACAATTTTAGGGTTTTAAAGCATATGGTAGGGTACAGAACGGTTGAAATGCCAGTCAGTGTAAAAATAATTCTTGTGATTTTTAAGCGCGCTACAGATCTAAAACTTAGATTTTTCAAACCCCTTAAAAAAAGGTATAAAACATCTGTCCTATCTTATTATTTGTCAAATTTGGGCAATGATTAAAAATGTATCGTTAACTGAAAAAAATCGATGGTATAAATATCTCATATAAACAAATTGTTTGTTAATTTGTTTGTTTTTAATCTTTGTGAAGAAACAATCTCAAGAACTGACGAGGGTCAACCCAGACCGAAATATATTTTCAATAAATGTGACACTAACATCTACTTTTTTACTCTACAGAGGTTTGGTCCATCACCATCACTGAATTTTATATCTCATATAAGAGATGTGAAAAGAATAATAATCACAGAATAGATATTTTGTCTTAGGGAAAAGTGTTAATAATTGTATCCAAGTAATATTAAGGAGATAAAATAGAGGCTAGTGGGGTAATTTTTCTTACTATGTCAAACCTAGAGATTAATAACAATACAGATAGAACACTATAGATATCGTTTTTTATAAGATATAGGGTTTTTTGTTCACAATAACCCTAAGACATAAGCCCAAAGGAGCATGCCGCGTAGTATTACAAGACAGAGAGAGAGCATGCGCAGAACTCATTTGGGCTCCCGCCTCAGGGTTATTGTGAACTAAAAACCCCTACATCTTGAAAAGAAGACATCTATTGTTCTATCTTTATTGTTATCAAACTATGGTCTACCCAATCTTTCTCTCACCATTTATATCAAATAATTTGTTAATCTTTTTTTTAAATGTACCCCCTAAACATATTTTGAAATGTACCCCCTAAACATATTTTGAAATGTACCCCCTAAACATATTACCTTGAAATGTTCCCCCTAAACATATTACCTTGAAAAGATTTATATTTGCACCACAACCACATTTAAGCTGCGGCATATTTGAACTGGTGTGGAACGGTACACTGTCCCCACACTGAGTACACCTACACCACAACACAGTACAGTGCAGGACAGTACATATTTATATTATTTACCGTCAAATTATACGTGTATTGTGACAAACCAGAATCAAATTTTAATTTCAGTTAGAAGATTTTCTCAATTTAAATATTTATGGAATAATCTTCTCATTTTGAACTCTTGGGTAACATGATCTCGAAAACACTGATATCAAATCTTCTCAACAATATTTTAGATTTATAAAATGTCAAAGTTCAAAAATTTTCCAAAAATTTCAAAGTCACCTAAAGTTGAGAACATCAGTTGTCATCTCATGCATAGTAGGCCAATTCTCCATACAGGCCTGATAATAAACATTCATGAACATATTAAACTGTATACAGATAGGGTGTCTTAAAAAAACAGTTGATGCCAGAGCCTCCAATAAACTCGATTTTTATTTTTTTGAACATGCAAATTAGATATTAAAAGTGTTTAATAGCGCAATCAGAAACCTTGTTTCATAGTAAAAGCATTGTTGTTGCACGTCAACATTTTTTGGGAATTTCTCTTTTAAAGATGTTTTCATTGTTATTCATTCTAGAGGCTCCGTTTTCAATCGATTCTCTTCTTAGAGGAATTCCGAAACTTATATAACGTGCTGCAAAATTGATGTGAACATGGTTCGCAGCTTTTTGCTTGTTAAATAAGATTGGAAATTATCAGCATGTAATTTCAATATCAACAAAAATTTAAAACAGACTCTGAGATAAATTCCTAGGCTTTAAGGAGCACCCTGTATTCTTTATTTATTAAGTATTCTGTGGTAGATGTGTGAGTGTACTGTATTAACAGGTACAGATATTTAAGCAGTAGTAATCAGAGAACAGGTAAATCATTGTCGGTTTCCTTTTTTCTTTAAATTAAAAATGTCAAAAAGGATTTAGTAATTGGTAAGTTTTAATAGTGTTCAGATCTTATAAGCAGTAAATCAGTTACAATCACACAATCCATCGCGACATTTGATGAAGAAGAGAGAAGATAACAATTATTTCACTGTATATTACCACACACTGGCAGGTGAACCAGTATTGTTTAGAGAGCCTCATCTGCCGGTCATCTTTCGGAGAATGGAAGAAAATTGGACCATAGTTCTCACAGATCTCTTCGCCCTTGAAGATGTTCTTAATTGCCTAAAATATCAACGTTTGTTCAGTGTTGTTTGTGATTTTTATCTTTAATCATTAAATACATAGTCAATTCTTTACCTAGAACTTGACTATTTTCCAAGATTAATAAAAGTATAATCACCTGAACTACGACATAATCCTCTACAAAGTATCTAACTATACTAGGATTACTAAAAGTATAATCACCTGAACTACGACATACTCCTCTACATAGTTCTAACTATACTAGGAATATTAAAAGTATAATCACCTGAATTACGACATAATCTTCTACATAGTATCTGACGATACTAGGATTAATAAAAGTATAATCACCTGAATTACGACATAATCCTCTACATAGTTCAGACTACACTAGGATTACTAAAAGTATAATCACCTGAACTACGACATTATCCTCTACATAGTAATGACGATACTAGGATTAATAAAAGTATAATCACCTGCACTACGACATAATCCTCTACATAGTTCTAACTATACAAGGAATATTAAAAGTATAATCACCTGAACTACGACATAATCCTCTACATAGTTCTAACTATACTAGGATTAATAAAAGTATAATCACCTGCACTACGACATAATCCTCTACATAGTTCTAACTATACATAGGAATATTAAAAGTATAATCACCTGAACTACGACATAATCCTCTACATAGTATCTGACGATACTAGGATCACAAGAATGATTGAAGAGTGCAAGAGTAGGGTAGACTGCAGCACCAATAAACGCTGACTTTGCACCTACTGTACTGTGCGGTCCCTAAACAAGTTGAATAAATCAGTAAAATATATGTTAAAGTATCCATAAAGCGTTATTTAAAGTGGAAATAAAATGTAAACATGGGCATGCTGGATTCACAGTGGTATACCATTGACACCTTCTTTTTATAAATAATGTAAAAGATAATATCATTTTTAAATTCTAATAATTCCTAAATAATTTCCTGCAGTAGAAATGCGGAAGTCACATATTTCAGGGAACCCACAATTGTAAATAATCAGTTTTTAAAATAATATAATTAATACATGAACAAACAAATCTTGGAAAACATGTCAATGAATGTGAGAGAATTTCGTTTTCCTTGTTATATTTGACACTTGTGACGTCGTGTACAAATGGTCCATTTCTCTAATGCCACCTATTGTACTTGATAATATATTTGGTATGATGTGTTACACAAATTCAAAATATTAAAAAGTATGAAGGTTCCTCCTTGTATTTTGATTTTAAAATAGTCATTTCATTTATATCATGTTGTGAACCATATCCCTAATGTAACCCTGTTGTAAAGGTCGTCTCCGATAGACTGTACCTCCTCTGAACCCTCCGTCCACTCACCAAACCAAACATTGCCAAGGATTTTGCATAAATATAAACAATAACCTCATGGAGCTAATAAAACTTAGAGTGCATTAAAAGAACTCATTTAAACATAATTTTCAGTGAATCATTCACAAATAAACAGTGAAATTACTTTAACCAGATAAATGTTCATTTCAGAAGAATTAAATTGCTTTAGACTTCAGTTCAAACAACTTTTCGGCCTAACACAGTTTTCTAGATTGTAAGTTCCAACAGTATTTTTTAAAAAAAAAACTTTTTTTTATTTTTATTTTATCAGTTCACAACAGTGCCTTTAAACATTTTATTTATCGATTCACAACAGCAATAAAATATGATCCCCAAATCCTGCTAAACCTACTAAACCTAAAATCTCCAATCCTGCTAAACCTACAAACCTTCAACTGTTTAATCTTTATTAACAATTATTATTTATATGTATGTACGCCAATAACAATCTGTATTTTGTAGGAAACCTCGTTACTGAAATATACTTTTTCAAGAAGTTATCATCTATCTGTGTCTGGTAGAAAAGAGTGTTTTCCTTGCCAACTCGCCTTTCCCTCTTTCGAGTATTATTCCTTTTGTTCGGCTCACACATGTGTATTAGATGTCTCTGTACATGTTTCTGAACTCACCCCATTCTAAAAGTAGCATGATCCGAGCCGGTATAATAACATTCAGTCATACCGTCCAGTCTGATCTACCCAGTTTAGTGTCGACCCATGACACGTGTTATACAACAAAAGTAGCTTGGCAAGATCACAGTTAATCCGGCGCGGTGGAACAAATATTATTTACCTGCATTTCAAACTGAGCAACTTCATGAGCATTAAACTGTAAAACCTGAACATTTAATAAATTTAAACTGAGCAACTTCATGGGCATTAAACTGTAAAACCTGAACATTTAATATATTCAAACTGAGCAACTTCATGGGCATTAAACTGTAAAACCTGAACATTTAATATATTCAAACTGAGCAACTTCATGGGCATTAAACTGTAAAACCTGAACAATTAAGAATTTCCAAAATAAGAAAATGTGTGAATATTAATTCTTTTCTAAAACAGCTTGCAAATTACTGTGTGTTCGGGCATTATTGGTGATTAACATAAATTAAAATGATTCCAAATTTTCTTTTTTAAATTCTGTTGAAACTTTTTAGATATAAGCATGCAGTCTATGCTGCATGAGCTTTCACAATTCAGATTTATTGTAACGCGCGTGGCCTTAAAGTACTTATGCACTATGCGGCTTACAACTACAAATATCTGCAATAAACAGATGAATTAAGAAGTAGGTTTCAGCAAAATCCTGTAAACAGACATACCTCTAGAAAATGGTTCAGTAAACCAGCAATAAACAGTTCGTTGTCTGATATCACATTCTCCTCAGAATCCGGGAAATATCCCTGGCTCTTCAAACATCTAAAAATACATCTGTTAATGCAAATACCGTATGTTAATTTATGCTTTTTTGTTGGGATTTTTCTGTAAGGAGAAAAAAGAGAATGTAGCTCAATGAAAATACAGTATTACACACAAACGATAGCACTTTGAAATATATAACCTGAGTAGGAAAATAGAGAACATAGCTCTAGGGAATATATTACCTGAGTAAGAAAATAGAGAACATAGCGCTATGGAATATATTACCTGAGTAGGAAAATAGAGATTTTAGCTCTATGGAATATATAACCTGAGTAGGAAAATAGAGAACAAAGCTCTATGGAATATATTACCTGACTAGGAAAATGGAGAACATAGCTCTATGGAATATATTACCTGAGTAGAAAAATAGAGAACATAGCTCTATGGAATATATTACCTGAGTAGGGTAATAGAGACTATAGCTCTATGGAATATATTACCTGAGTAGGAAAATACATAACTCTATGGAATATATAACCTGAGTAGGAAAATAGAGAACATAGATCTATGGAATATATTACCTGAGTAGGAAAATAGAGAGCACAGCTCTATGGAATATATTACCTAAGTAGGATAATAGAGAACATAGCTCTATGGAATATATTACCTGAGTAGGAAAACAGAGAACATAGCTCTATGGAATATATTACCTGAGTAGGAAAATAGAGAACATAGCTCTATGGAATATATTACCTAAGTAGGATAATAGAGAACATAGCTCTATGGAATATATTACCTAAGTAGGAAAATAGAAAACATAGCTCTATGAAGTTTATTACCTAAGTAGGAAAATAGAAAACATAGCTCTATGGAATATATTACCTGAGTAGAAAAATAGAGAACATAGCTCTATGTAATATATTACCTGAGTAGAAAAATAGAGAACATAACTCTATGGAATATATAACCTGAGTAGGAAAATAGAGAACATAGATCTTTGGAATATATTACCTGAGTAGGAAAGTAGAGAGCATAGCTCTATGGAATATATAACCTAAGTAGGATAATAGAGAACATAGCTCTATGGAATATATTACCTGAGTAGGAAAATAGACAACATAGCTCTATGAAGTTTATTACCTAAGTAGGAAAATAGAAAACATAGCTCTATGGAATATATTACCTGAGTAGAAAAATAGAGAACATAGCTCTATGGAATATATTACCTGAGTAGAAAAATAGAGAACATAGCTCTATGGAATACATCTCCAGTTTTCCTCTCTGAATGATGATTAACAAGATTGAAATAGTTTCTGTAATCCTGGGATTCATAAACCTCGCTTTGATTCTAAAAAATCAAATCAATATTTCTTTTCACTTTTAAGGTTGAGTATAAATTTTCAAGAAAAGCGTACGGAGTTAAAAATACATCAAGAAAAGCGTACTGAGTTGAAAAGTTGGACTAGGAAAGGATATCAATAGAAGAAAAATCTCCCAATTTTCCTTTGATTTTATGAAAGGATTTTTGTGTAGAAAAATAAATCGTGAAATAAAGGATACTCTGATTTATTATCCAACATCTCAAGATACCAATTTGAAGAAGTAAAAATCCCGTACTGCACTTTATTTTGTGAAAATTTTAAATAAATCTTTTAATCAATTCGGCTAGATTTTAATGGTACGCAAAGCCATTAGTTAAAACCTGTATTTTTAAACTGTACATATTTGTTGACATACGTTCAAAGTTTATTTACAAATTCTAAACTTGATTATTGTAGAAAACATATTAAGTGACCTCTATATTGTGGAATTGTAGGAATTTGTAAATAGTTAAGCCTTTAATTAAAATGGGTCTGTGTTTATTGCACAATTGCTGTATTTATCGTAATTAAACTATAATTTAAAATTAGAATTAAAACCATTGTTTTTTTATTCCAAGTGTTATGGGTCTCACTGTACCTTAGTCTGTCCACTGGTCTCGTCATGCTTCTCAAACAGTTTCTTGTTTTCAAGAAACCATTTCAGCGGCCGCTGGGTTATCGTTCTAGATTATATTATTTTTATTGTTGTGTTTATAGTTAAACTTTTTAAATGCAATTTTTTCAATTTTACCCAAACATAAACATCTCCTGGGATTATGTGAGGTCCCGATCGGTTCAGCCGTTTTGACGTTTATCGGTTACAAACAAACAAATATACCGCGGTTCAAACAGACAATCAAAGTAAATATACGAATTGATCTGTTTGAAAAATTAACACATATTGTGGGAAGTGAAATTGTCGAATTACAAAAATAATCTCGATAAAACTCCAATTTTCTAGTCCCTTTCTCTTTGCAATTGGAATCGGTGAGCTGGGAACTTCAGAACGGAATACCTTTAATCACGACTGATTAATCCGAATATCCAATGTGGACACTTTTAATTTCTTGCTTAATCCACACTTTTTGGATATAATACATAAAAATCTAAAACCGGTTTTAGAAAATTAGAGAATCCCTCCCGTCTCTGTACATTGATCTTAATAAAAAGAAAAACCTCTCATTAAATGGCGAGCAAAATTTTAAATTTCCCGGTTTTTGATTCGGCACTCTGATTGGTTAAATTGTATACACTTTTCAAGATACAAACACACGATTAGGTTAGTCTTGAGATTAAGAAAAAGAGAAGATCAAGAATTGATTTCGAAATCCACCATTCCAGAGTTTCCAGCTCTGATGTTTAAAATTTTAGCAATTTGATTTTTAGCAGAACTCATCGTTTGAAATATCAAAGGTCTTCGACATCAAGTAACAAAGATATGAGGATTAGTAAATTATTGTATGAGAAGAGTTATATAGTTCTTGCTAAAAAAGGCGAGGAAGAAAATCACCGAGATTAAAAATTCCACAAAAAGAAGAAGCGTATTATATAGTGTATTAAATATTGAAACATTTTTAAAGTTTATACACAGAGCAAACCAAAAATTGACATTTCTCAAGACATGTTTTTTGTATTTAAAAGAAGATGAATTAATGAATCATTTACTTTTCTTTTTTTGTAACGTTACGAAAGTTATCAAAAATATCTTAAATAGTTGAAGATTATAAATAGATTAAAAGAGACCTGTATGCTAGGAAGCAAATAATACTCATTCCACTTGCTAGAAACAGATCTATCAATTTACATTCATATCTAAACAAAAGCGAATTATAAGAAAACAATAAATTGAATATAATTATTTAAACAATTGGATCATGAATAGTAGGTTTATGATCATAATGTTCATTCTTTATACACGTTATTTAGCCCCCCAAAAAAAGAGATGAAAAAACTGAATGGGTTACTTGTGATATGAATTGGTTGCCTCTTTTCTACACTTATAGCTACAGAACATAACCTAAACAAACAAACTTAAAGGGAATGTTGACGTAATTTATAATTTAGCTTAAAGGGAATGTTGACGTAATTTATAATTTAGCTTAAAGGGAATGTTGACGTAATTTATAATTTAGCTTAAAGGGAATGTTGACGTAATTTATAATTTAACTTAAAGGGAATGTTGACGTAATTTATAATTTAGCTTAGAGAGAATGTTTACGTTATTTATAATTTAGATTAAAGGGAATGTTGAAGTAATTTCTAATTTAGCTTAAAGGGAATGTTGAAGTAATTTATAATTTAGCTTAAAGGGACTGTTTACGTTATTTCTATTTTAGCTTAAAGAGAATTTTGACGTTATTTATAATTTAGCTTAAAATTGACTGCCAGGATAAAATAAGATAAAATAAGATTTACTAAAAAATGCCTCTAAAGCCCCTTTATTTTTATTAGTTTTTAAGGAATTTTTTTTAAATTCTGTCCTTTTATCTAGGTTGAGATATTGAGGCAAAAACTGAGATTAATGAAGGATAGGAGGGATAGGGACAAAGAATACTGCACCATACACATTTACAACATGTCTTCCTTCAATTCATTTATATAATTTCTCCAGGGGGGGGGGTAGGTCAGGGGATCAGTGGTATTTGGGAGGTTGGGTAATGGCAATGGATTAATCACATACAAACACACGGCTGGTGTCTAAAAAACCAGAGCCAAAATTTTGGACCGGATTTCGTTTCTTTTATCATTAATAATATTTACTAGATTTTAGATCTAACAAACTAAACCTTGTATCTTATTCATAACAAATATTGCATTCAGTATTCGAGGTTTGTCAACTCCTCTAATGCTGTATTGTTTAAACCTGATTTTTGTTATTTTAGATATTCAAGAATCTGGTAAAAGGAATTTGCCACAAATTTAAATTTTCTAATCCCTATATCTTTGGAACCTGATGTTGTATACTTAATATTTCAAACTAAGATAATTTGATGCAAAAGAATTCATACTTTAAAATATCTAAGGTCTACGACACTGGGTTGCAGAGATATAGGAATTAGAAAATCAGAGTTTGTGTCAAAGACTCAATTTCTTAATGATCTAATTGGGCTAAAACGAAAATCTATTTTCATGTTATTTTGTAGATATAGCTTAAGGCGTTTATGGATTCTATACATGTAGATCAGAAATTAATTGTAAGCAGAAAGTTCTAACGTCAAAAGAAATAGGGGAAAATGAAAACCTACTATTAACTACTAACCTACTATTAACTACTAACCTACTATTAACTACTAACCTACTATTAACTACTAACCTACTATTAATTAACTACTAACCTACTATTAACTACTAACCTACTATTAACTACTTACCTACTATTAACTACTAACCTACTATTAACTACAAACCTACTATTAACAATGTTGGCTTTTAACTGGTTCTCTGAAAGTTGATTATTTTTAAACATTCTCAAATTTAAGTGGATTTTCTATTCTAATTGACGTATTTTCAAAAATTAAGAACTACATTTTTTGGGAATTTTTTCAATTGTGATAGTCCATAAACCTGCCGTGGGATCAAGTGAGGTCCCACACAAAATTTGGGCTGGAATGGTTTATCCCTTTTGACGTGCTTTGAAAACAAAACAAAAAAAGAGAAGCAAAGTATTTATATTTTTTATCATTATTATTATGACCATTACTATAATTATCATTTTTTAATATTATATCGATGTTGTTACCTTGGTGCAGGTTGAACAGGGGAAAGGAGCTTTCATAATTTTAAAACAGTTTGTACAATTTTTCCCTAAAAACATAATATCTTGAAAAAAACTATTTACGTATTTACAAGTTTGCAGCATTTAGAGCAATTTACACTAGGAATGTCTAAAATTATGGTGAAAAAGTTAGCAATCTTTTTGGACATAGAAAATAAAAATACTATTAACCTTAATTTTACCAGATAAATAAAAAGAGTTTTAACATAAAGGATTTGAATTTTTAAAAGAATATTGCAAGGCAAGTAGCCACGGAGGTGGCTCGGACGAGAAACTTATTAAGATACCAACCCATATACTCTGGAAGCATGTGGGATACAATCGCCTTCTCTACAGCAATAACTTCCCCGACAATTATATCACGGCCAGCAACTGCAAATCTACCTAAATGTTTAAATATTTGAATATAAAAATATGAAAATATTAAAACTTTTTTTTTATTAATTTTAGTTTTGAAAATTGTTCAAAATGTTTTTGTAGAATGGGCACAGTTTAGCTTAATGTGAAAAAAATGGCAATTTTTCAAAAATTTGTTATCAGAGGGGAGATTTTACCTCTTCCCGTCTCGTATTTGAATACAACAGCATCGTTCATAGCTGGATAGAGAGGATTAGTGGCTGGAAGATCAGGGAGCTCAGGCTCAGGGTGTATCCGGATATTTGGGTCATTCTTTCTAAACCATTAAACTTTTCAGATCTTGCGTTGCTTTAGTTCGGAACCACACCAGAAGTTTAGATTTTCAATTAAAATATTAAACATTTTGTGATATAATCTCAGACACAGAGCTAATCAAAGCTGGCTATTTTCGGTTTGAAATAAAATCATGCAATGAAAGCTTTTATCTTTCATTTGAAACTACATAAGGGTGTAAAGATATGGGGATTAAAAATCAGAGTTTCTGCGCAAAAAAGTTTCTTTTTATAAATATTTGATGATTACCTGAAGGAAGCTGGAGCTTTGCTGAGCATGGATAGAGCTTGCTGGATTTCTTTCTCAAATACTTGCTTCTTCTCAGCAGACAATTTAGTCGCCTAGTGAACATTTATAGTTATTCAAAAGGAATTGAGTCATTGCCACAAACTCTGATTTTCTTTCTATCTTTGCAACTCAATGTCTTAGATATTCAGATATTTCAAACTATATTCTGTTTATAAACTCTAGTTTGTGGCAAGTTTCAATTCCTTTGTAAATGCATTTCGATTTTAATAATAGTAACTAAAAATAAAAATGTTGGCATTGTCCTGCCCTCTCCCCTTTATCGTATGTTTAAATATCAACAGTTGAATATGAATTATGCTTGTCATTGCTATATAAAAACTATCACTAAATCAGTTAGCCATGTAATACAAGTTTGAAATAAAAAATTAACCTTGTCTAGATACTTGATTGCAGCCTTGTAAGCAATTTCTGCGTCAGCCATTTGTCTGAAAACCACGAGAATCTTTCCTTTTCTGTCATACAGCTTGTAGGCCAGTTCGTCAGGGTATCCGACCTAGATATTATAAGTGACACTTTTAAATACATTTGCCATATTTAAGTTTTGACCAAAAACTTGTAAATGTCCCTTTATTTCATGAGTGTCATTTACAGTTATTTTACCTCAAGGGCCAGCTGAATATCATCTAAAGCCATGTGGTATGCCTTCAAGCTGAATAGAACAGCTGATCTGTTTGCCAAGATGGTTGCCAGATCACGTGACTTTCCATCGGCACCAACTGGAGAAGCAATGGCGGCCTTAATGAATAATCTATGAAATAAAGCTCTTGCTCCATATATATTTAAATGTTAGATATAGCTGGCCAAACGGCTGGTCCGCTGGATAGAATGGGCTGAGATTTGTTGGGCCTGGGGGAACCATATGGGTGCCCGGGGAGTAAGATAGCCTAAAAATCCAAAAAAAATTTGTTCAAAAATTAAAATTTATTTTTCAAAGTGTAAATTTTTTCCATGGGCAACTCCGAGCATTTCAGCTAGATATAAATAAATCTCGAAAAAGCAAGAATTTAAAGTACAAATTAATAATTAAGCTGTAAACTGCTTTTTTTAAAAGTTGTTGCTTTCTCTTGTATATCATCAAATAAAAATGAAAAAACTTTCATAGATTAAAAAAAAATATTTTGGACGTGAATTTTCAAAATTTACAAAATTCAAATTTTATGAGATTTCAGACCAAGTCAGAAATTACGAATAATTTGGGCCCATTTAAAAAGCATGAAAAGAAGAAAAGACAGATTGACTTTTTTTCTGAAAATTTCTGAAAATTTTTTTTAAAAATGAAAAAACATTTTAAAATGTTTAACCTGGATTTTGGAATGCAAAGATTTTCTGTCACTTAATTGAAAATTTTCGGCGACAAGATTTTTACAGTTTACCTGTGTATACAGATACAGAGCATCCAGGTCTTTTCCTTGCTGATAAGCCTTGTTTCCATAATCCTTCTTAGCCTTGGCTTCATACTGATTCTTCTCAGGGTAAAATTCCCTGGATAATTTTCATTTTATTCTTTTCAAATAATGTAAACCCTTCATCATTCATTGCAACCTAATAGCGTGGGATACTATTTAAAACTATGAATTAAATAAGATCTCAGAGATAAAGTTTGAAATATCCGAGGTTTACATTCATCAGAGGCTGAATTTAAAGAATTTGAGCCGTGGCTTAAATTTGAGACGCAGCTCAAATATGGTTGGTTCCACTTTAAATTGTGTTCAATGTTTTAAGATTTTAGCCGGCGCTCAATTGAAACCAGTTTTTGGCGGATTTTAGACGCGGCTCAAATTAATTAAATTCGGACTCAGGTTACAAAGATTAGAACATAACAGTTTGAGTTTTGATAAGTAATCCTGTTTCTTTAAGCGGTTATATGTGCTTTAGGGAACTCAGAACTAGAGGAATTAGACTAAGATTTAAATAATTGAACACATCATAACATTTAATAAAAATAAAAATCTGTTTTGATGTTGTTTTTATATAAAAAGGTAAACATACACCCAGAACTTCGAAGACATATAAAGAATTTATAAACTGATAATTCTGCAGATATTTAATTAATTGAATGCTTATATATGGAGCTCTTTAAATATTTGCATAAAACAAAACAGTCAAGACGACATTTTAAATATTCTTTCGATGCCCCCTGAAGTTCTGTGTTAAAGATGAAATCCTACTTGATCTCGAGTCCTTCTTGGTAGATCTTGAGATCATGAGTGAACTTGAGCAGGGCTGAGGTGTCCTCGGCAACCTTGTTCTAAACAAACCTTGGGTTAAAGGAACTGTTAACGTACTTTTAGTGAATGTCAGATTCACAAAATACCTTTTGAAACTTTTGTCTGATCTAGAACGATGGAGTTATATCTTAAAATTGATAATTTTAAATTGAAGTTCTCAAAAAATGTCATTTAAGGGTTATGCAATAAGATATAAAAAATAAATTGTCATAATTCAATCCTTTTCAAGAAAGAAAAACCAAGATATCTTCCTCATTTTTGTTTTGATAAAAGTGTTAAAAAAAGAGAGGCTAATGCAAAAATATCAAAATATCAAATGCCAAATGATCAAATGCCGAATTATACGGTACAAACGCAGTACGTTTCAATTAGGCCTACAAGCTAGAAATGTAAACAAAGAGATAAGAACAGAGTAGAGTAGAGAAGAGATGAAAAGAAAAGAGAAGAAAAAAGAAGAGAAGAGTATAAAATAGAAGATATAGAAAGAAGAAAAAATAGATTGTGTGAAAGAGAGAGCTTACATTTTACAGACGTTTTATCAGAAAAATATGTTTAAGAAAACCTTAAACTTTAAAATTAACTTTATTGTAAAATTGTATGAATTTTTTTTTTAACTAGTCGTCCCAACTGTTTAGCGTACATTTTTTTTAACTAGTAGTCCCAACTGTTTAGCGTACATTTTTTTTAAAACTAGTCGTCCCAACTGTTTAGCGTACATTTTTTTAAAAACTAGTCGTCCCAACTGTTTAGCGTACATTTTTTTTAACTAGTAGTCCCAACTGTTTAGCGTACATTTTTTTTAAAACTAGTCGTCCCAACTGTTTAGCGTACATTTTTTTTAAAACTAGTAGTCCCAACTGTTTAGCGTACAGTTTTTTGATTATTTGGCATTTGATATTCTGATATTTTTGCAGGCAAATCTTAAATTCACTTGAAAATAGATTTACACGTTTCCCTTGAAGTACAAACTTTGCACAAGTGTGAATTCTTTATAAAATCAATCTTATTTCTATTCAAAATAATATTTGTTTAATTTTATGTCACGGAAAAGTTATTTGAATTGTACTTTAAGGACTTAAAGTGAAAATATTTAAAGAATTACTGACAACAAAAGGCTAAATGAATGAAATGAACCAGGTTAGTGGTAAAATTAGAAAATGATATTTTCTAAAATTTAAACATTTTGTTCTCAACGCGGATAGTTATGGCGGTAATTAATTAAATTTGAAAAATTTTGAGAAATATTTCAAATATCAATTAAGGTTGAAAAATGAACATTTACGGATAAAATATAAAATATAAAGAGTATTGTTTGGTTTATCTCTATCTAAAGGGATTGTTCAGAAATTTAGGTGAAGTTGAAGGTGCGAATTATCAACCAGAGGGTTCAAGTCAATACGCAGATACCCTTCTCGGGATTATTTTTAACAAAACGAATACAAGAAAAGTGTGATGAATTCCGATACAAATTCTTCTTACATTTATGTTTTGATATGTTGATTTTTTAATTTGTAAATTTTTTTAATTTGCTTTAAACGTGTTTAAAATTTAATGTGTAGACAAAATTCAAGAATTGTATTCTGAAAAATTGATGCATGTAAAATGTTTTATAGATTGCTTAGAGAATACTCTCGATATAAAAACATACAAAAATCCTTTAAAAAGGTTAAATAATTTTATTCTTTTAAACATTAGTTAGTGTTCGTTTATTGTACAGCATCAATTATTATAAAAAGAGCTCTACTTTTGAATGGACTTGAAGTTACGCTTACAGTCCCTTTATAATTCGTTGTCTATATTTAGCTTTCGTTCATCGGTTAGAAAGAGATAACAGTTTGTTCGTTAACGGTAACTGTTGTACGTTACCTTGCTTGGTAAATGAGCAACCAAAATAGAATTGAAATCATTTAAATCATTTATTTATTTATAGTTTGAAAATAAATTCAAAATGTGTTCCTACCAACTTATCGAGGTTTTCCTCTCCCATCCCCTCGCACACAGACTTGTGGAGCTTGGTGAAGAACCCCTCCACCCTTCTCTTCTCATCAAACTCCTGGAACATCTCTCCACGACCTGCCATACTCACAGCTTTCAAGGATTTTCTGTAAAAAATTAAATTCTTAAAGGGTATATGACGAAATTTGAAAGGAGTCTCCATTTGAACTAAAGAACCTGTCAAATCATTCGTTGGGATGTTTAGAAAGATGAAAATTTCCCTGTATGATAATTGAAGGACTTCCTAGGCTTAGTACGTCAATATAATTCACCAAAACCATACTGCAGTCCTTCAATTATCATAAGGGGAAATTTTCATCTTTCTAAACATCCCAACGAAAGATTTGACAGGTTCTTTAAGCGTTTCTGAAGAGACGAGTACTTATCAGTGTCAACTGTATACTTTTCATTATTTTCAAAGATTTAATGAAAATCTTGGAAATTAATAGCCGCCTTTGTCTTTGAAACCGAATTGTGTAAATCTTATATATTTTAAAATCCGAAATATCAAAGGTCTTGAACGACATCATGTTGCAAAGATATAAGAGTAAGAGGAGAGTATAAGACAAAAATTGCCAAGATTAGTATTATTCTACTTTATAATTCATTAAAAAATACTTGTGTCAAGTTTTAGTTTCCTGCCAGAAATGGACGAGAAAATGACGTTTTGACGATAAGATTTTTTATTGATAAGGTGCACAGTTTAAAGATGGAGTAAATTCGTCACTTTCATTATACAATTTTAACTCTAGAGTTAATGAGTACATCACTGACTCAATACACATGTGAAGATATAAATACTAAATTTCAAGCCGATATACTTGGACTCAAGCCAACAGTGCTTTCTTCATTTAGCTTAGGGGAAATATAAAGAGAATGAGAATGAAAGTGGAGGATGAGGTTTGAGAAAGGGAAAAATTGTAAATCATGTCTCTAACAATTTGTATTAGAGGGGGGAGGGGCACCTTACGCAAGTCACTATAGTTTCAGTAGCAGTAAATTTTTTTCATTTACTGTTATCGCGCCAGAATAGACACCAAACACATGACTGAACCTTGGTTGGATCAGGCGCTAATGGACTTGGCATACAAGAGTGAAGTAACGAAACCAGATCAACTAAATCCGCATATCTCTTGTTAGAGAAACCACGATTGAAAAGAATCAATTTTCAAAGATAAAAACATGAATATGTCATTCATTCTTCATCATTCAACCTTTTTTTAGTTTCAGTTGCAAATTGAAATTATGTCTACAGTTAGAAACAGAAAAATTTGGAACCCGAAGACGACAAAAATGTATTTGATGTGGAATTACATGCAAGTAGTTTTACTAGTTACTTATTAAATCACTTATTCAGTATAATGGTTCTGTTTACACTGCAATATTGCTGTACCTCATGTTCGACGTTCATTGGACTATTTAAGGTAATAACTTGATTCCAAACGTCGTCTTCCTGGTTCTTTCTGTACAAGACTGCCGACCCTTTAAAAGTATAATACAAAGTTCGTATTGTAAGTTATAACTTAAAGTATGATATTGACGACTAGCAAGTTGCTTTAACATTAATAAAAAGAAACACATTAATTAATAATTAAGAAATATCAAAACATGAACTGTTTATATGAAAATGAAAAGTACATTGAGACCCTTTACAACTTTTTAGTATGAAAACGACATGAGTATTTACAATAGTTTTACCAGTTAACCCTATTTATCCTGACGTCTGGTTTCATGACTTGTTCCCCCTCTATTTTCTTATTGTGATACAAATCTATAACATTTGATACGTTTTTTGAAAGCCCATGGGCTCTCAATCCCCTAAAAATGGCAAATTTGCAAAAATCAAAATATTTAATGCGCAATCAAGTTATTAGGCAAAAAATGCGCAACAAAAAATTGGGCAAATTGCAACAAATTATACATTTTTGAAATGTGCAAGAACATGTGTAAAATTTTTAAAACCTAAATGTGTATTCAAGAAAAACTGAAAATGTGCAAATTCCCTTGAAAGGCAAAAATCTGTGCCGAATTTCGTTGCAATAATTGTTCAATCTATTCGCTTTTGTTATAGGCTTTCAAAAGAGCTATAAAAATTGAAATCCAATGACTGGAAGTAGGTCTAAATATAGATTTTGTCTGGTATAGGTACAAAAAGGTATTTAGGCAGTAGGTATAAAAGCCCAGCTTTTAGCCTTTAGTGATGGGCATGTGTTAGAAAATTCAGAAAATTTTAGCTTCCTAGCTCTAATATTTTTTGAGTTATCGCAAAAAAACGATAGGGGAGGGTCAAATTGAGCCTCCCCACCCCCCATGATAAAAAGGATTAAATGGGTATATTAACACTGCGCATTCTCTGTGTTTCATGATCTTAGGATCATTTTAATTTATAATCGGAGTCCTAACAGTCATCTTCATATTCCACAGTTTTATGTGCCCCACTGCAGTCTGCACGGTGGCAAATAAAACAGAGAGTAAAAAGAAGATTAGAGAAAACCCAGGTCGGAACACGAAAAAGATTAAGTATTACAGAGCAAAGAGAAATAAAAGGAAAAGATTAAAAATAAAAATGAGTAAATTTTGAACAGAAAAAGAAGGGATCGAAGAGCGCTAGAGAGAGGAAAGAATAAGATGAGAAAAAAGAAAAAGAAATTAAGAAAGAAGATTGAATTTAACTTTAATGACAATTTTGTTATAAAACTAATTTGATTTGACGTGTATTATAAGTATACAAGTGTTTTTAAAGTATACAAATAGATTTCGATTTAAAAGTGTTTTTTTTTATAAAAATGAAAAAGCTTTTGAAGCATTTTCTATAATTATTAATATAGCTAAATTTACGCAAAAATAAAATATATTTTTTTACGAAAATAGTTTTCCTTGAAATAGATTAAATGTAAAATTGTCAAAATATAGAAAACAAATTAAATGTTTGTATTGCTGACAGCATAAAAGAATTCTATTTACAAGGTCTGGTAGGAAAAAAGTCTAGCTTTTTTTTAAATTGTTAAATGTGTATTAGTTCAGCTTTGACTGGCAAAATGTTGGCTGGAGTTTGTCTTGTAATATTTAGTATTTCTCATGTTCATGCTGGTAAATATTTCTCATGTTCATACTGGTAAATATTTCTCATGTTCATGCTGGTAAATATTTCTCATGTTCATACCGGTAAATATTTCTCATGTTCATGCATGGTAAATATATCTCATGTTTATGCTGGTAAACATTCTCATGTTCATGATGGCAAATATTTCTAATGTTCATGCTGGTAAATATTTCTTATGTTCATGCTGGTAAATATTTCTCATGTTCATGCTGGTAAATATTTCTTATGTTCATGCTGGTAAATATTTCTCATGTTCATGCTGGTAAATATTAACTAACCTTTGATTCGCAAGATAAACCTTATAAGACTACCTGAAACTTTCTAATTCGGACAATTTAATTGTTTGAATTGTCCTGTTCTGGATCTACACAGGATCAATAAGACGAACATTTTAAAGCTTTGGAGTACCATCAATGTAAAGAAAAGAATACGTCCAGTCGTCTCTTAAGGCTTATCCTTTTTGCGTAACACTTTATATTTTAGTTCTTAAAGCACATTTCTTAATGAACCCAGAGACTGATTCCAAACCAAAAATATCACGAAATAATTGAATTAAAAAAAGATCGGCAAACCGAAATAATAACAGATGAAAATCCTGCATGTACATTAGGTACATTGTACAACGCACGGAAAACTAGCTAGAAATTGGTATGTACAAGCTATATCGGGATAATGGGAATTGAGTCTTTCACAATCTCAGATTTTCTAATCCCTACATCTTTGCAAGCCAATGTCAAAGATTTTATTTTTAAATATGAATTTTGTTTTGATTTATAATTATTAGTTTGAGTTTGAAATATTACAGGTTTACACCATATCAGATATAGGAATTCGACCATTTTAGTTTGTGACAAAGACTGAATTCCTTTAGTCAATCTTTGATCTGAAATTTGAAATCTATGAAACAAAGCTATGATGAATTGCTCTGGCTTTAACATTTTAAACGTATAGCCAGACAAAAAAGTCTGTCTTTTTTCTTGATGGCTTAAATGACGACTTTCTGTCACTGTTGTTTGTTACTGAGCGCAAAGATTTAACCAGCAAGATGTAACTTGCCATCCCAATTTCGTCGAATAAACGTGAATCGTTTTTAAAGCAAAAGTAATAAAACTCTTTTAGTTTAAGGATTGTTGAATTATAGACCAAAATACGATTGAACTAAAAATTGGCATAAAAAAACACGAAACCATCTATAGATTGAGAGATTTGATGTCAACGTCATGTCATTTCATTAAAAATGTATTTTAAATTTTTTGAGACTGAATCTTCATTTACGGTGTTTGACTTCACAAGTGTTTAATTGAAGTATGAATGTTTTAAAAGTTCCTTAATGCCCATACTTTCCTTCAGTTATATTTTTTAACACCAGACTAATTTCCTATCTAATTTAAAGACGTATGGAGTCCAGTTGCATAGACTGTATAAGACACTTGATAAGTTTAATTAATACTTGATTTTAATTTCAGATATTTATAAACGTTAATTGCAGAAATATATCAAAACTAACTGACTTAGACTAAAATAGAGCAAGGAACTGATTACATGACTGAAACTCACATTTTCCAATTCCTCACCCTGGTATAACCAGGCTGAGAATTGAAATGCGTTCGGGACTTCAATACGAATTTAATCGTGTTTTGGTTCATAATTCAACCATCTTTAAACTCATGAAGTCGTTTTCTTCTACTTTTTCGTTTAAAAAAAGCATCTGCTGACAAAAAGTAAAAACGAGAACAAGGAAAAAGCCCATGTTGATCGAAAATCAAAGGACCGAAGTGTTAAACCTGGCTTTCTTATAACTTTTCAGCCGGCTTTTTAATCTAGTGATATTTTCAACATCGACTATTAAAGTAAACAGAATCCATAGTTAATTAAATGGTTTATGGCATCAGGTTGCAAAATATAAGGATTGGATAATTCGACATTGAGCCGTTCATTAACTTGTGCCACAAATTTTGATTGAAAAGTGGGAAAAATGTTCAATAAAAATAATATCAGTTTATTTTAAGAACAAGTAGTTGCTCTTTTGTTAAATAGGAGATGCCCTTGGCATTTTAAAGTTCCTGCAATCCTGGAGCACAAAGTATGGTAAAATGAATATTTACATGTGAAACGAAAAGGAAGTGAGGAATGTCGAACTTTTTATAAATCTGATAGAGTTATCTATCACTCCTTCAGAATTGTCAAATTTCCCTTTGAAAGTATCTCATCAAACGTTGATAAGATACTTTCAGTACAAATTTGTTGTACAAATTTGATAAAATCTCATCAAAATTTGATAAAATCTTACAAAAAAAACATTGATCAAATATTGCTCTGATAGAATCTCATAAAACTTTGATAGAATCTCAAAAACTTTGATAAAATATATGTATTTTCATTTTAGAAGTATTTCCAAATCTTTAGATTGCAGTGTTAACCTGGACGGTTTGACCGGAAAGTATCCCCCACTTCTGCTGCAGGGTCACCAGTTTATATATCCAACTTCTGTAAACCAACAGGGGCAAAGAACTATAGATATTGGTAAGAATAGTTTATATATCCAACTTCTGTAAACCAAGAGAGACATAAAACTATAAATATTGGTATGAATAGTTTATATATCCAACTTCTGTAAACCAAGAGGGGCAAAGAACTATAAATATTGGTAAGAATAGTTTATATATCTAACTTCTATAAACCAAGAGACGCATAAAACTATAAATATTGGTAAGAATAGTTTATATGTTAAACTTCTGTAAACCAAGAGGGGCATAAAACTATAAATATTGGTAAGAATAGTTAATATATTAAACTTCTGTAAACCAAGAGGGGCAAAGAACTGTAAATATTGGTATAAGAATAGTTTATATATCAAACTTCTGTAAACCAAGAGAGGAATAAAACTATAAATATTGGTAAGAATAGTTTATATATTAAACTTCTGTAAACCAAGAGAGGAATAAAACTATAAATATTGGTAAGAATAGTTTATATATTAAACTTCTGTAAACCAAGAGAGGAATAATTATTAAACTTCTAAAATAAACAAAAGAACAATATTTATTGGTTTTAGATTTTAAGGACGTCAATTGAAAACTATCTGATGCCGTAAACCTTCAAAACTGAATTTATGACGATAAAATTAGAAAGCTTGCATCACATTTTGATTCCAATTTCCACTATTTTCTTATTTTGATTGAGTTTGAAAACGAATGTTACAGATGAGGGAGGCGAGTTGGAGCTGTACTGCCATGGAGATATCAGATATGAAGATAGTACTTACGTCAGGTAAACTCAACATAGGAAATACAAGTTAAAAGTTAAGAAACAACAAAAAAGAGAAGTTGTCAATAATTGTTTAATACTTAACGATTTCAAGATTTTGACATTTTAGAATTCGTTTTTTTCAGACCTTTTTTAAAGAAAAAAAATTCGCTTTCATTTACACTCTTCACAGAAACATTTCATATGAGACACCTTTATCCAAGGTTTAAAGCATAAGCTTCTACGTATCATAGAAATGAGACAATGAGACATTGAGACATTGTTTCTATGATTAAACAAATGTAGATTAAAAGAAAACGATAAAAAATTTATTCCACAATTTAGCATACAAACATGGGTTAAAAACATGGTGATATTTCCAGAATAATTCAATGGCGGGAAACCAGGAGAGCTCATTAGGTTTCGTTTTTAGACTTTAAAAACAACCAAACTTAGTGCAAAAATAAAATTTTCAATTTAAAGTATAATTTTATCGACATTTTGCATAAAATAAGATTTTAAACTACAAAAAATGACAAAACTCAAAAATTAAAAGGACCTACCTTCATTCAATAAACAACGAACTAAAACTAAAAAACGTCTTATTGTTTTTTTTTATTTTCAAAAACCGATCTTTTTCAAAAGAGTGAAAACGATTCATTCCTAATCCCAAGACAACATTTTAGTATCTTATCAGATGCACATTTTTCTAAGGGATCAAACTCTTGCATGTAAAGTCACTTTATTCCAATTTAGAATACTATCCTTGTATTTAGTGTATCTGGACTACCCAAGCAGAAAAGTATAGTTCTGACCTGTTCACAAGGAGTATTTTACTATGCAGAAGATCAGGTAGAAGAACTAGGAGTATTTTACTATGCAGAAGATCAGGTAGAAGAACTGGAAGTATTTTACTATGCAGAATATCAGGTAGAAGAACTAGGAGTATTTTACTATGCAGAGAATCAGGTAGGAAAACTAGAAGTATATTTTACTATACAGAGAATCAGGTAGAAGAACTGGGAGTATTTTACTATGCAGAAGATCAGGTAGAAGAACTAGAAGTATTTTGCTATGCAGAGAATCAGGTCGGAAAACTAGAAGTATATTTTACTATACAGAGAATTAGGTAGAAGAACTGGGAGTATTTTACTATGCAGAAGATCAGGTAGGTGAGCTAGAAGTATTTTGCTATGCAGATAATCAGGTAGAAGAACTAGAAGTATTTTACTATGCAGAGAATCAGGTAGGAGAATTAGGAGTATTTTACTATACAGCGAATCAGGTAGGAGAACTAGAAGTATTTTACTATGCAGAGAATCAGGTAGGAGAACTAGAAGTATTTTACTATACAGAGAATCAGGTAGGAGAACTAGAAGTATTTTACTATGCAGAGAATCAGATAGCAGAACTAGGAGTATTTTACTAAGCAGAGAATCAGGTAGGAGAACTAGAAGTATTTTACCATACAGAGAATCAGGTAGAATAACTAGGAGTGTTTTATTATGCAGAGAATCAGGTAGGAGAACTAGGAGTATTTTACTATGCAGAGAATCAGGTAGGAGAACTAGAAGTATTTTACTATGAAGAGAATCAGGTAGGAGAACTAGGAGTATTTATTATGCAGAGAATCAGGTAGGAGAACTAGAAGTACTTTACTATGCAGATAATCAGGTAGGAGAACTAGAAGTATTTTACTTTACAGAGAATCAGGTAGAAGAACTAGAAGTATTTTACTTTACAGAGAATCAGGTAGGAGAACTAGAAGTATTTTGCTATGCAGTTAATCAGGTAGGAGAACTAGAAGTATTTTACTATAAAGAGAATCAGGTAGAAGAACTAGGAGTATTTTACTATGCAGAGAATCAGGTTGGAGAACTAGGAGTATTTTACTATACAGAGAATCAGGTAGGAAAACTAGAAGTATTTTACTATGCAGAGAATCAGGTAGGAGAACTAGAAGTATTTTACTATACAGAGAATCAGGTAGGAGAACTAGAAGTATTTTACTATAAAGAGAATCAGGTAGAAGAACTAGGAGTATTTTACTATGCAGAGAATCAGGTTGGAGAACTAGGAGTATTTTACTATGCAGAGAATCAGGTTGGAGAACTAGGAGTATTTTACTATGCAGAGAATCAGGTAAAAGAACTAGAATTATTTTACTATACAGAGAATCAGGTAAAAGAACTAGAAGTATTTTACTATACAGAGAATCAGGTAGGAGAACTAGAAGTATTTTACTATGCAGAGAATCAGGTAGGAGAGCTTGGAGTATTTTACCATGCAGAGAATCGGGTAAGAGAACTAGGAATATTTTACTATACAGCGAATCAGGTAGGAAAACTAGAAGTATTTTTCTATGCAGAGAATCAGGTAGGAGATTTAGAAGTATTTTACCATACAGAGAATCAGGTAGGAGAACTAGAAGTATTTTACCATACAGAGAATCAGGTAGGAGAACTAGAAGTATTTTACTATACAGAGAATCAGTTAGGAGAACTAGAAGTATTTTACTATGCAGAGAATCAGGTAGGAGAACTAGAAGTATTTTACTAAACAGAGAATCAGTTAGGAGAACTAGAAGTATGTTACCATACAGAGAATCAGGTAGGAGAACTAGAAGTATTTTACTATACTGAGAATCAGTTAGGAGAACTAGAAGTATTTTACCATACAGAGAATCAGGTAGAAGAACTAGAAGTATTTTACTATACAGAGAATCAGTTAGGAGAACTAGAAGTATTTTACCATACAGAGAATCAGGTAGGAGAACTAGAAGTATTTTACTATACAGAGAATCAGGTAGGAGAACTAGAAGTATTTTACCATACAGAGAATCAGATAGGAGAACTAGGAGTATTTTACTATACAGAGAATCAGTTAGGAGAACTAGAAGTATTTTACTTTGCAGAGAATTAGGTAGGAGAACTAGAAGTATTTTACTATACAGAGAATCAGGTAAGAAAACTAGAAATCGGGATTCGCCCTCTTTGCATGAAGGGTCACTTGAAATTACACGTACAGTATTAAATTAGGGTTACGTTAGCAAACTTGTTGAGGTTAATGTTTTATTAGATTTACCTTATGTTACCAGACTTAAGTTAGCAAGCAGATTTTTAGTATTATCGTATAAGAGTTAGGAAATCAAACATATTTAAGTAATTTTACACATTTAAATTAACAAGCAGATTTAAGGTAGAAAACATAATCAAGTATATTTTAATACTGATTTTAGTTTGTAAGAATAGATTTAAGTTTGAAATCTGTTTTTAGTCTTAATGAAGCCGATTTGGGTGGAAAAAATATTTTAGTTTTGAAAAAAAAATGTTTTAAAAAAACTTGACGCAGGTGAAAGTTGAGTCTTCGACATGTAACCGACGACAGGAACCTCATCTCATCAGAACTAATGAAATATGTTCTCCGGAGGGTGCAGACGGTAGAACCAGTAACCTAGTAGGTAGGTTGGCATTTCTTCAATTCTCAAGTTAAACACGAAATATGTGAAAAAATTTTCATATTTGAATATAACTTCTGGAAACCATGCAAATATTGTTTACTTTGTATTCTGTTGAGTAATCCGAGTACAGGTTACTAAATTGCTCTCTGTTTAGATCTTGTCCGAGTAGAGATTACTATATTGCTTTCTGTCTAGATCTTGTCCGAGTACAGATTACTATATTGCTCTCTGTCTAGATCTTGTCCGAGTACAGATTATTATATTGTTTTCTGTTTAGATCTTGTCCGATTATAGATTACTATATTGATGTCCGTCTAGATCTTGTCCGAGTACAGATTACTATATATTGCTCTCTGTCTAGATCTTGTCCAAGTACAGATTATTATATTGCTCTCTGTTTAGATCTTGTCCAAGAACAGATTATTATATTGCTCTCTGTTTAGATCTTGTCCGAGTACAGATTATTATATTGCTTTCTATTTAGATCTTGTCCGAGTAGAGATTATTAGATTGCCCTCTGTCTAGATCTTGTCCGAGTAGAGATTATTATATTGCTCTCTGTCTAGATCTTGTCCGAGTAGAGATTACTATATTGCTTTCTGTCTAGATCTTGTCCGAGTACAGATTATTATATTGCTCTCTGTCTAGATCTTGTCCGAGTACAGATTATTATATTGCTCTCTGTCTAGATCTTGTCCGAGTAGAGATTACTATATTGCTTTCTGTCTAGATCTTGTCCGAGTACAGATTATTATATTGCTCTCTGTCTAGATCTTGTCCGAGTACAGATTATTATATTGCTCTCTGTCTAGATCTTGTCCGAGTATAGATTATTATATTGCTCTCTGTCTAGATCTTGTCCGAGTACAGATTGGATGGAAAATTGGAACAAATTTTATTGAACAAGTAAAAAAAGCAAACTAAGACTAAATCATCTTTAAAATGTTTTTTTTCTAAATATATAAATTTTATTACTTCGACATAATCTTGACATTTATTTATATAGATTCAACTTTGTCATGATGAAGCTAACTACGGAACAATCTGGACAAATCATACTATATATGGGAAAAGTATTGAGCACAGAGATATTGATGAAGGAAGACCATCTTTCAGGTAAAATTTTGAAGTTTCTAGTTTAGTAAGTAATTTTGCTTCCTTCCAGAGCTGACAATTCCTATCAGAAGAGATTCTACACCTGGTATACCAGTACTAAACTTAATGAGTAAGCTATATATTTTTTGTTTATTTTTCTTGGTAGATTAATTGGAAAAATTATGTTAAATACATTTTAACAATTTGATTATTTTTAGAGCATATTTTTTCGCAAAACTTTGCTAGAGTAAAAATTGGTTGCTCAGGGGAACAGACTTTAAAAAATTTGAAAATGGGCCCATTTTTGGCCATAACCTTCACTTTTACAGCATATTAGCAAACATTTGTATATTTAGGCAGTACTCTAAGCGAACTCAAGGATATACCGTATCTAAACTGTTGGGATCTAACATCATCAATTCAGTTCCATTGATTGAAACTGGGACTACAGGAAGCAACTACTTTGCTAAGGTATTGTGGACTACTTTTTTATGTGTTTAAAGATCTAATTTTTTAATGTTAATATCTTTAAACGTAATGTCGTGGATCTTTGATAATTCAGCCTAAACCTATACTAGATCAAAAAGTCAAAATATAAGATATTAAAGGTTAACACCATGAGATTGCAAAGATATAGTGATTATAAAATGAGAGTTTAGGAGAGTTATTTGATTTGTTTAAATCCCACATCAGCTTCATTGTAGTCACGATTAGCAATGATCTATAAAATACAACAAGATGCTACTTACTTCTTCATGAATATATTTTAGGGGCATCTATCTCCAGATGTAGCATTCATCTTTAATATACACCAATATGCTACTTACTTCTTCATCTATCTCCAGATGTAGCATTCATCTATAACATACAACAAGATGCTACTTACTACTTCATGAATATTTTTTAGGGTCATACTCATCTATCTCCAAATGTAGCATTCATCATTCAGCAGGATGCTACTTTCTACTTCATGAAAATATTTTAGCTAGGGATATCGTTTTGTTTTCGAAAATGAAATGATCGTTTTTGAAAACGATCAAGAAACGAAACAAAAAACGATCGTTTTCAAAAATAATTAACAACCCTATATGTAGCATTCATCTATAATAAACAAGATGCTACTTACTACTTCATGAATATATTTTAGGGTCATTTATCTTCAGATGTAGCATTTATCTATAATAAACAATAGGCTGCTACCTTCTACAATATGAATACATTTTAAGGACATGTATACTCAGATGTAGCATTCATATATAATTTATGTATCAAATAATTATATCTTTGTATTGTGTAAATTTATGACCATTCGTTCTGACCGACTCTACCATCGGTCAACTTATTTTTACCTGTTCCATTAAGATCCAAATATAGTTAGTTCAACACAGACCAACGCTACACTGGAAACGCATGACCCAATTGCAGGAGTGAAAACAATGCTGGAGCAGCCCAAGTTAGCAGATGAGACACAAGAATACTTGCAGGCATTGCAAGAGGAAGTGACAGCCAGAAGAAGTAACCTACGGACATGTATCTAAAAATTAGGGCTTCATTTGGGTATAAGAAAAAATGTTAGACCTCACCAGGACACCCCTAAATATGATGGAAACATGGAAACAAAGTTCGAGTGGTGCCAGAAACTGGAGATACATTTAGATAACCATGAGTGGGAATCAATCCCAAATGAGAAAGTGATAAACATGCTGTTGTCTAGCATCATAGGGACAGCTAGACAAGAGAGAGTGCTGTTGCATCCTTCCGGGTTAGCATTCGCAAACTACGAAACAGGAGAATTCTTCACAAAACTGCTGAAGAAGTGTTTACAAGAGAAAGATGAGAAAGGCCAGAAACAGGAAGTTGTAGGAAGATGATATTATGGGTCCAAGCATACACTCCAGCCAATGGAGCATGGCAGAGTTAAAAAATCCATGATTATTGGGTAATGCGGAACTGAAGAAACCATGCATGTTTTCATTCCAAAGGATATACAACACAAGAATGAATAAAAGCATTAATAGATCCTCAGTGGGTCAACTTGAGGACCTAAAACACAGACCCATGGACTTCCTCACAAGACATGGCAGGCCTGAGGAGCACATATAGTTTTGAAAAGGCAGGAAACAACCCGAGGTCCGATGAGATGTTGAAGACAGAACAAGTGCCTGTGAATGTTAATGCAATGCCTGGACTGAATGAGTCGGAGAATGAAGAGAAGGAAACATGGGGTGATGTCAACACAGCTACTTACCACTTTATCAATGTATTTTAGGGTCATCTCTCTCCAGATGCAGCATTCATCTACAATGTCCAGCAGGATGCTACTTACCACTTTATCAATATATTTTAGGGTCATCTCTCTCCAGATGCAGCATTCATCTACAATGTCCAGCAGGATGCTACTTACCACTTTATCAATATATTTTAGGGTCATCTCTCTCCAGATGCAGCATTCATCTACAAGTCCAGCAGGATGCTACTTACCACTTTATCAATATATTTTAGGGTCATCTCTCTCCAGATGCAGCATTCATCTACAATGTCCAGCAGGATGCTACATACTACTTCATGAATGCTGCTCCGCAATTCCAGGTACAACTAAAAATAACGTTTTGAAAATAAGAGAAAAGTTAAAAAGTGAAGTTTAATATCTTTTAAGGCCTTTAATAATGGAAACTGGAAAGCTTTGGAATACAATGCAAGAGACTTAGCAAGCAGGTACAATATAATTACTGAAAGGGACTGTAGATATAATTTCAAGGTGATATCTCGTGATATAGAGTGTCTGATATTCACAATTAAGGTTTAACTGAGTAACAATAAGGAAGTAATTGTTACTTTTCTATCTTCAAAAGATTTAAACACTAATAAGTTTATTCATTATTTCTGAAGCATAAATCTGCAAAACACTTCAGAAACCACTTTGGGAACTAATTAGAAATCTCATTCGTTCTTGATCAGACAGAACTAAGGGTACCGTTGTAAATCGGAAGTTGAAAACAAAATTTTGGTCTATTTTGGGATAGGAAGATGGATGGGGGGGGGTCTTCTCCCCCCCCCTCTTTATAATTTTTCCCTTAGAGTTGAGATAGGGGTAGATAAGGGAGTGTGATAAATATCCTTTGTCCAAGTTTTCAAAACAAGCTTATTAAAGAAAATATACCTCTAACTTAAATGGTAAGGGTACGTACTAAATAAATCAAAAACAATGTAGTTCCAATAATAGAAAATTTATAAGTTATGGAGAAATAAACATCAAGGGGTGGAACCCCCCCGACCCCCCCCCCCTCCTCGTTATAAGTTTAAGCAGAAAATTAAATTATAGGTCTGGACGTGATCTTTCCATTCATACTGGAACATTTGGAGTTCTCAGCTATACTGATGTAAACAACGAGGACGTTCCAATTTATCTCTATATATCAGGAGAAACAAGGGTACAGTACTTTTAATTAATGTGAAGTATAATTTTTTTAGTTGATTTTTAAGTGCTCATGATTGATCTTAAATCAAATAAGGAGCAATACTAATGACATTTATTTAGTCTTATTCTAACATTCATAGTTCCCTCCAGCTCATTTAACTTGTCCCTGCCATAACCGACTCTTGAATTATGTCATTTAAAGATCTTTTTTTAATTGTTCTTGTTGTCCCTTTCTTTAATTTATATAGGAATTCACTTCCGGGCACCATGCATTTTAGGGGTCTCTCGCGTCCTATGCAGATAAACAAAATATGATATGCGACCAGAATCTAAGAATCAAAGGATCAGTTAAATAAAATTGAATGATTTCTGCATCTTCGTGTTTTTGCAAATTTCTCACAGCTGTAAGCAACAACAGGTTTTATATTTTTTCCTAATGACAGACTCAAAGAAAGAAGTAAAAATTGTGGCGATCTATATCAAATTTAATTCGGATACTGCATTCATTGTATTGTTTAGTATATCCCTGCCCCCCTGTACTACTGGAAGGTTATCCATGATCCATCAACTGGTTCTGCTGATGTATTTATTGTATTTTTAGTATATCCCTGCCCCCCTGTACTACTGGAAGGTTATCCATGATCCATCAACTGGTTCTGCTGCTGCATTCATTGGTCTCAACAATCCACATGCTACAGAACAACCAGAGGAGCTTTGCAATAATGTGTAAGATTTTCATTGGACTTAAAATAAGTTTTCTGTAGAAAAGAACTAGTAATTAGTATTATATTTTGGAATCCTGGAGCTCAAGTCCTTTAACATTTCAAACTATGATTTCTGAAAGATCAAACAGTTAAAGTTTGATATATCAAAGGTTTACCCCATCAGGTAGCAAAGATACATTGGATTAGTATTTAGGATTTGGGGCAAAAATCTGTTTCTTAATTAAAAAACATTAAAATCAATACGTTACACATTTACATTATACAATGATTTCTGAAGAAAAAAAGATGGCAGACTTCCTTTCAGAAAGTTTACAAATTCTTGAATCTTCTCTTTTAAAACATTGCCATTTTTTCCAGTATTTTTCGATGATCAGATATAATCTTAAAATCGTCCCTCAACAATTATATTTAAGTCGTCCCTTTGACTATGATCTTTAAGTCGTCCCTCAACAATGATCATTAAATCGTCCCTCAACAATGATCTTTGTGTCGTCCCTCGACTGTGATATTTAAATTGTCCCTCAACAATGATCTTTAAATTGTACTCATGAAAAAATGATATTCAATTAAATTTTTGAATTTTTTTTGTACAGGGTGACCTGTAAAACATGAAAATCTAAAAAACTTTGGTAATTCATAATTATTTAATTATTTCAAAACTTTACTTTTCATGTTTTAGTTGTTTAGATCTTTAAAAGAAGATTCCAAAAATATCTTTAAATTTTTTCTAGCAAAAAAATTGACAATTTTATAGATTCAAAACTAAATTACAGGGTGTTCTTTTGGGTTTTTTCCGAATTCAAAATCTTGTTTTTTTGGGTTTTTTAAAATTGAAAATGAAATAAAAAACCCAATTTTGAAGTTACGTCAAAAATAAAATATGTTTTGAAAACAGGAAATCCTAAGGAAAGCGCAGGAAAAGACAAGACAACATTTTGTTTAAGAAAAAAAGGCACTTTAAAAAAAGACCTCACCCGGTCAAAATTGACCTTCTCGTCACTAATGGGTTAAGTCGTCTCTCGACTATGATCTTTAAGTCGTCTCTCGACTATGATCTTTAAGTCGTCCCTCGACTATGATCTTAAAATCGTCCCTCGACTATAATCTTTAAATCGTCCCTCAATAATGATCTTTAAATCGTTCCTCGACTGTGATCTTTAAATCGTCCCTCGACTATGATCTTTAAACGTCCCTCAACAATGATTTTTAAATCGTCCTTCAACAATGATCTCTTTAAGTCATCCCTCGACTATGATCTTTAAGTCGTCCTTCGGATTTTTTTGTTTTGTGGGATACACTGTATTTTTGAGGACATAATGATATCTCAGTCGGTCATTATCTAATATCTAATAAATTAGTCGTAACAAAAAATTGTTAAAGGGATTTATTACCAAATCAGAATGCCAATAAAGGTTTAGACACAATTTAAAAAAATGATAAAAATAAAGAATTTTCTGATAGTTTAAATAACAAAATCTGTTTAATTTTCAAATTATTAGATGTGGTGAAATGAGCTGGGTTGATTGGAGCATCACTGAACTCGACTCAGGTTTTTAATATTAGCATTGTAGAAAAATAATTTAGTCTATTTTTCCCAAAAACTTTTTTTTCGAAATTGGCAAATTACTTGATTTTAAATCTAAATATTTAGGGGATTAAGAGGTAAGAAATGGCTTCACAAATGTCTTTTTAACTCTCTTATGAATTCTGTCTCCTTTGAAAACCTTTTTAGCTCGCAAAATACATACTTACTAATATTATCGGGAGTTCATAGACAAGTTACTGTATACAGTTTCATGTACTGTTCTAACAATGTAGTGTACAGAGCTGGGAACTTTAGAATGGATAAACTTTAATCCTGACTTCTTGATCCGAATATCCACTGTGGAAACTTTTCATTTTTTGTCCTAATCCACTCTTTTTCTCTCTCCTTGGATATCCGTTAATTGTTTCCTCCAATGAGAATATTTCTGTTCTCTCATTGGTTGCCCGCTTTTCTCTGATTGACTGCTACAGTTTCTCAGATGATTAAATATTAATTTAAATTTTATTTTTTTCATGCACTTTTAAGAAAATCTTGCAAGATTATGTTACTCTTGAGATTATCAAAAAGAGATTATCAAGCATTAATCCCGATATCCTCCATTCTAAAGTTTTCAGCTCAGGTTACATATACTGTTCTAACAATGTAGTGTACAGGTTACATGTACCTCGTGGATTTAACGGTTCTGTTAATATATCAGAAAGCTATGGCTTTCGATCACAATTTGAACAATTATGCATAATATTTAAGCCTTTTTTTTAAAATACTCACTCGGTTAGTCCGGGGTGGTACTGTTCTAACAATATAATGTACAGGTTACATGTACTGTTCTAATAATGTATGTACAGGTTGCATGTACTTTTCTAACAATATAATGTACAGGTTACATCTGTTCTAATAATGTATTGTACAGGTTGCATGTACTTTTCTAATAATGTAATGTACAGGTTGCATGTACTTTTCTAACAATATAATGTACAGGTTACATGTACTGTTCTAATAATGTATTGTACAGGTTGCATGTACTTTTCTAATAATGTAATGTACAGGTTACATGTACTGTTCTAACAATATTATGTACAGGTTACATGTACTTTTCTAACAATATAATGTACAGGTTATATGTACTGTTCTAATAATGTAATGTACAGGTTACATGTACTGTTCTAACAATATAATGTACAGGTTGCATGCACTTTTCTAACAATATAATGTACAGGTTACATGGAGCACTGTTCCTATAATATAATGTACAGGATACATGTACTGTTCTACAATATAATGTACAGGTTACATGTACTGTTTTAACAATATAATGTACACGATACATGTACTGTTCTAACAATATTATGTACAGGTTACATGTACTATTCTAGCAATATAATGTACAGGTTACATGTACTGTTCTAACAATATAATGTACAGGTTACATGTACTGTTCTAACAATATAATGTACAGTATACATGTACTGTTTTAACAATATAATGTACAGGATGCATGTACTGTTCTAACAATATAATGTACAGGTTACATGTACTGTTTTAACAATATAATGTACAGGTTGCATGTTCTGTTTTAACAATATAGTGTACAGGATACATGTACTGTTCTAACAATATAATGTACAGGTTGAGGTTACATGTACTGTTTTAACAATATAATGTACAGGTTACATGTACTGTTTTAACAATATAATGTACAGGTTGCATTTTCTGTTTTAACAATATAGTGTACAGGATACATGTACTGTTCTAACAATATAGTGTACAGGATACATGTACTATTCAAACAATATAATGTACAGGATACATGTACTGTTCTAACAATATAATGTACAGGTTACATGTACTATTCTATCAATATAATGTACAGGATGCATGTACTGTTCTAGCAATATAATGTACAGGATACATGTACTGTTCTAGCAATATAATGTACTGGTTACATGTACTGTTCTACAATATAATGTACAGGTTACATGTACTGTTCTAACAATATAATGTACAGGTTGCATGTTCTGTTTTAAAAATATAGTGTACAGGATGCATGTACTGTTCTATTAATATAATGTACAGGTCGAGGTTACATGTACTGTTTTAACAATATAGTGTACAGGTAGAGTTGTTAATTGTTTTTGAAAACGATCGTTTTTTGTTTCTTTTTTAATCGTTTTCAAAATCGATCGTTTCGTTTTTGGAAAAAACGATCGTTTTTAAAAACGACTCACTCGTTTTGACCTTTTAGAAAACGATCGTTTTTTAAAAATCGATTTGTGACCGTTTTTTATACGATTGTTATTTAAAAACGATTGCTTTTGAAAAAACGATCGTTTTTGAAAAAAAAAATTTATTGACAATTATGTTAACAATCGTTAACGAAACGACGAAATTTATAAAAATGGTCGTTTTTGGAATAACATTCGTTTTTGAAAAAAAAAATACATGCAACTTTATTGAATGTCGTCTTACATGAAGTTAAAAGTTGTGGGGGAGCTAAAACTTCTTGATATTTTTTTAAAAACTACTCAATGATAATTGTACAGATGCCCTTCAGGTCGGTTTCCTCTCTTCGTTAACGATCGTTAACGAATGGTCGTCGTTAACGATCGTTAACGAAGGGTTGTCGTTAACGATCGTTAACGAAACGATCGTTTTAAAAACGACCATTTTTGAAAACCGAACTTTTTGAAAAAACGATCGTTTTTAGAAACGATCGTTTAGTTTTCGATTTTTCATCGTCGTTTTCATAACGAAACGATCGTTTCTCTAAAAAAATGAAAACGTTAACATCCTTATGTACAGGATACATGTACTGTGCTAACAATATAATGTACAGGTTACATGTACTGTTCTTATACTATAATGTACAGGTTACATGTACTTTTCTAACAATATAATGTACAGGTTACATGCAGCACTGTTTCTATAATATAATGTACAGGTTACATGTACTTTTCTTATACTATAATGTACAGTTTACATGTACTTTTCAAACAATATAATGTACAGGTTACATGCAGCACTGTTTCTATAATATAATGTACAGGTTACATGTACTTTTCTAACAATATTATGTACAGGTTACATGTACTGTGCTAACAATATAATGTACAGGATACATGTACTGTTCTAACAATATAATGTACAGGTTACATAAACTGTTCTTATACTATAATGTACAGGTTACATGTACTTTTCTAACAATATAATGTAAAGGTTACATGTACTGTTGTTCTGTAGAAGACGCAAGGAAAGCCATTCCTTCTATTCCAGATATTCAGGTCTGACTTCATCTTAATTTTTTTTCAATTCAATATTAAAGTGCTTTTAGCTAAATATGTTTGCTTTTCTAAAGTAAAATCCAAAACTAATTTACAAAAAAGTTACAAAACTACCCTATAAACCATGATCTGAGTAAAGTTGAGAAAAATTTTATTGTTTTCTAATTTTGAAAAGAAATCAATTCTGTCCATTTTCCTCCCTGTCCCCGGTCCATAAACAAAAATATCACTTTTTACGGATTTTAGAATGGATATATCAATAATTTTTTCTCAGAAAACCGGTTTAAAGGGTACCATTGTTAATCCGACAAGTAACTCTTTAAATAAAAAATTGCTAGAAATTATTTCGCAATTGTTTTAATTTATATAAACTTATTATTTCAGTCTTCTGGGCTCATTCAGATGGAGTAGTAACAGATTGAAGAACACTATAGAATTTGTTCACTCACCTTAAACTTTCATGTTATTATCTTTTATATTTGCAACCTGATGTCGGAGAACTTTGATATTCTATACTATAAATTCTGATAGATAAAACTTCATTGGTTTAAATTATCAGGTTGCAAATGTATAAGGATTAGCAAATAAGAGTTTGAGGCAAGTGTTCAGTTCCTTTTGTTGCAAAAAAGTGTAAAGTGTACAGTGTACAGTGTACAGTGTACAGTGTACACTTCTTTAATAAATTCATAGCAAAACATCTCTTTTACTTGCTTTTGGTTGAAAAATGTTGAAACAGTTTAGTTTAACAATCCCAGGATGTATTCCTGGTTTAGAATTTGAGGGAATCATTATCATATAAATTGATATGTTGGTTCTCTACACTTATATTAGCCAAATCCGAAACTTTATCCGATTGTCTAAATAATAATACCATACATACACTTTCACGAAAATGGAGATGGGGGCAGGCAAGGTGGGGTAGTTTTGGGGGGTCAGGGGAGGGGGGTGACTGGTTTTTGTCACAATTCTCCTCTTAAAATGCATTTGTCTTGTGTTTCAAGGTGAGAATGGACAAAATGAATATATTCTGATAATCATTTCATTTACAAACATTGTATGAATTGTATCTTGCATTGAAGTTTAATGATTTCAATTCATAATTACTTTTCAAGTTCATATATTTATCCTTGAATAGATCCTGTAAACCCGCAATATATTTAGTTGTCGTCTTTGTTACAGCGAGCTATTTCGGAAGAAAAACATATATTTTATAGCAAAAGCACAAGAAAGCACAGCGGTTTTGGGATAATATAAATATAGAAATAGATTCTAACAGCCATATAGGGAATATTTAGGGGCACCGGCAGCACGCCAAAGCCTTAATTTAATCAGAGTAGCGTGTTGAAAACTCATATTTTAAGAGTTTTCAATGAAATAGCGTGTTTTCGGTCGAAAAATTCTTACCTAAAGCATAACATTTAAACAACTTAGAGACTTCTCTCTCAAAAAAAATTCTTAAGCGGCCTTATTTGACATAAATATGAGGTTTATGGAATAAATTCATTTTGGCGGACCCTCCCATAATACTCACTGTGTGGGGGGGGGGGGGTTAATGGTTCATATTCTATACAGATATTGTTTTTATGCACAGTGAGAACCATAAAGTTGTGGAAAAAGAAGAGAAGTGTTAGACTCCATGATTATTATTTAAAATATTCTAAGGAATTGAGTTTTTGCCACACACTCAAATTTTATAATCCCTACATATATATCGGCTACCTGATGGTATTATCCTTTGATATTTCAAACTTAGATTTTTTGAACTAACAGAATTTATAGTTCGAAATATTTAAGGTCTACAACATTGGGCTGCAAAGAAATAAGGATTAAAAATCATGTTAGTGACAAAGACTCAATTCCTTTATACGAAATACAGAGATTGTGCAGTGTACACCTGACATTGAATTAGTTAATGCTTAAATCAAATACACAAAAGACTGGTTTAAATGTCGTCTTTCTATTTCACTGTTTTATGGGTTCCACTGTAGATATAGTAATGTGAAGAATGTGACAGGGTTACGGTTCCCCCGAAAAGAATATATTTCACTAGTCCGAAAAATGAAGATCTTCGAAATATATCTCTTGGTCTTCACTTTTGTATTTTGACAGATTTAAGAGTAGTTGAGAACTAGACATAGTTTTAAAGATATTAAGGGCTTACATTTCTTTTTCTTTAGGGAGGGGGGGCCGACCCCCCCCACTGATCCAGGAGGGGGATGAGCCCCCATAGCCCCCCCCCTGAATACGCCTCTGGATGATAACATAGATCTGTTTTAAGAAATTTACAAACATATTTTAAAATGGAGTGAGATTTGAAAGAACAAAACTAAGCAGTTTTAAAGATAAATTCCTTTAGAATTAGAAGTGCCAGGCAAATCAAATAGTATTTACATATAAACTACATAGAAACGTACAAAAAATTTTGATTTTAAATCGTGAAAATTTCGAAGTTCTATCTGAAGACGACATTTACATGGGTCTTTAGTCTATTTTTTCTAGTCTTTACTTTCCAAACGAAATCTTTTCATGAAATTATTTCCAAACCAAATAAAACCTTATGGCCCAACCTGTCGTCGTTTCCTTAGTCTGTTCCACTTTAGTGTTTATTCACTTTGCCTCTGACCCCCCTTCAGTAAAAGTAAATTCAACCTAAAGTCTGACCGCGTCTACCTTGTTGCACCGGCTAGTCCTATTGAGTGTCTCCTTTATTTACCCAATGTCCGGGTAATACAATACAAACTAGGACCGGAAAGGTTGACCCGGCTCGTAAATTCAAATGGACTACAGCTGCCAGTGAGTATGACACATTTTTTAGAATTGTTAACACAACTAAGCCTATCTTTATCGTACAGGTGTAAATTTTTAAAGTTTTTTTTTAATTAATTCCCATTAATTCACGTTATAAATTTCAAGGATTAACCACGTACAAAGGATGAAACTTCAAAGACGACCTTAAATCTTTTAAACTAAATATCTAATAGTTGAAGAATAGTTTTTCTGTCTTAAGTATTGCATCCTTTGATGGTATGTACAGGGTTACCCACAAAGGATGAGACTTCCGAGAAGTGTACGGTATTTGATTAGTAAGTTTATCTTGCATTCAAGAATTAATTTAAACTTTGTATCGTCATATTTGAGTTTTAAGCTGTCTTTACAGTCCAGAGCCCGTTCTCTCTATAAATAGTGGTCGCATAGTTCACGTACTTTGAGGGACGATAGGTTGGCCGCTAGATGTCTCATGCTAAATTCTTATCTGTTAGATAGATAATTTCTCCGTACACTTGACGACTAATATAGGAGACGTCAAGCTGTAGACCAATGTAGTTTTTGGAAGGAACGGCCTCGATACTTGTTGGTAGGGTTTCCACCGGAATTCCGGGTTACGGTTTACGTACGGAAATGATCCGGAAATTTTTTCCATTTCCATTATGGAAAAGGTTCCGGAAATCTGGAATTTCGGAACGATTTTTTTCCGTAAACTGGAAACTTCCGAGACGTTGTTCTAGAATTATTGAACGTTATGGAAAAAGGTTCCGGAAAACGTTGAAGACATTTTAAACTTATGTAAAAGATAAAACCAGTAAGTAATACTATCTACAGAATAATGAATGTGCGCCTGGTGTAGCTGTATTTAGAGTAATACCACTGTGAATTATCATGAAATAATATAAATCCTGACTGCCATGTCTCCAAATAATTTCATCTACAGAAAACTGTGGAAAGGAAGAAGACATTTATAGCAATCCTTGAGTCTAATTGATGTTGTTACAAAGCAAATAGGTTAAATAGTAACTTATAAAATCACTTTTAAATTGGTCTGTATACAGTTATAGTTTATACTACGTAATTGCATTGTCTAATGTTCATTGAACTATTTAGAGTCATGATTTAAGCCTAAAAGTCGTCCTCCTATTCCAGAGTTTTCTGGTTCTCACTCTATTTATATACTTTGCTCGTCTGTTTGTTTGTCCGTTTGTATCCAATAAACGTCCAAACAGCTGAACCAACCGAGCCCGACATTTCTGAGGCAACTCACATGGCCCAGGGGAAAGTTTAAAACTAGTTAAAAATTTATGCGGGAAAAAACGTCGAAATTTATTATTTTTTTTAATTCACCAGTTTAAAGCCTTCTTGTTTAAGCGCCCGAAAAAATCCCAAAAGTACTTTTCCCCTGAAGCCCCTCTAGCATTAACATTCTATTCTGTCCCAGCACTTAATACAGTTCTAACAAAGAAAAGTTAAAATTCTTAAAAATAAAGTTTACAAGTTAACTAAACAAATTCAGTTTAACATTAATGCATTCTTCCTAATCTGTAGAGAGAAAACTCAGCTCAAGAGACCTTTGCTATTCAAGTTATGTATTATACACTTTTAAACCATGCACATACTTTAAGTTTAAAGGGATTGATTTCTTCTTTGAAAATACAAATAGTACACGCACCTCTGACCCAAAGTGAATAAATACTAAAGTGGACCAAACTCATAGTTGGATGACGACATTTTATGTCCCAAGTATTTAGAAATATGTATATACATATATAAATTGGTCTGTATACGAAGTGTACAGTACAACAGAAGTTGGACTCCCTTTGTTTTCAAACACAGACTTAGAATTTCTATTTAACTTAAATATAGATTTTAGCCATTTTACTGCACAATAAATGATTTCAGACAGCACAATAATGCCTGCAAGCATAATCTGTAAAACAAGGAATGCACAATTTGTGATACCGAAAAATGAAGATCTTCGAAATATATCNGCAAATAGGTTAAATAGTAACTTATAAAATCACTTTTAAATTGGTCTGTATACAGTATAGTATATACTACGTAATTGCCGTGTCTCATGTTCATTGAACTATTTAGAGTCATAATTTAAGTCTAATAGTCGTCCTCCTATTCCAGAATTTTCTGGTTCTCACTCTATTTATATACTTTGCTCGTCTGTTTGTTTGTCCGTTTGTATCCAATAAACGTCCAAACAGCTGAACCAACCGAGCCCGACATTTCTGAGGCAACTCACATGGCCCAGGGGAAAGTTTAAAACTAGTTAAAAATTTATGCGGGAAAAAACGTCGAAATTTATTATTTTTTTTAATTCACCAGTTTAAAGCCTAGTTTTATAAACTCTTAAATATATGGTTCATTTCATGATGAATTATAGTGAAATATTTGTGAATATAAAATTGTAGAACTAAATGCGTATTTTATGTATGTCAACTAATAAGTTTTAACTTTTAATGTTTTTAACATTGCGTTCTATGTCTAATATTGTGTTAAAATTTCCGGTTTACGAAATGGAAACTGGAAATTTTAAGGTTTACGTTAAGTAAATCAGAAAAATTTCCGGTTTACGAAATGAAAAACTGGAAATTTTACGGTTTCCATTCCATAAACCGGGCAAATTTCCGGTTTACGCAACGTAAACCGTAAACATTCCGGTTTCCATTTGATCCGAATTATCCCGGAATTCCGGTTTACGCAACAAATTTCCGGATCATTCCATTTCCAAATTGGAATTTTTTTTCCGGAAAAATAGAAACCTTACTTGTTGGTAACCCTGTATAAAATAAAAATATTCAGTTTTAAGACGACATTTCAAACATTCTTCTTAACACTTTATACTGGTATACATTGGTAGTGATGGTAAATAACTTGGTTTGTTTTCAATTTTTAAAATTTTTTTTTGACTTTTTAAAAGGGATACTGTGAACTGTTAGCACCATAGATTTTCAAAATTACGTTTAAATATACGACGATATTTTTAAAATTTCACTCAGATCAAGGTACTTTTACAGTTTTTGACATATTTAACTGTTTCACAAAGATCGGACAAGTTGTATCGAACTTGTTTATTCTAATGATTTGGTTTCTCTACACTTAATGCATGTAACCCTGAGAAAAGATAAATATTTACAAAAAAACAAAAATTTCGTTTTTCATTATATTTTTTCATAGTTTTGTAACACTAATATTATTGCATAGTTTTGTAATACTAATATTTTTGCATAGTTTTGTAATACTAATATTTTTGCATAGTTTTGTAATGCTAATATTTTTGCATAGATTTGTAATACTAATATTTTTGCATATTTTTGTAATACTAATATTTTTACATAGTTATGTAATTCTAATATTTTTGCATAGTTTTAAAATTCTAATATTTTTGCATAGTTTTGTAATACTAATATTTTTGCATAGTTTTGTAATACTAATATTTTTGCGTAGATTTGTAATACTAATATTTTTGCATATTTTTGTAATACTAATATTTTTGCATAATTTTGTAATACTACTATTTTTTGCATAGTTTTGTAATACTAATATTTTTGCATAGATTTGTAATACTAATATTTTTGCATATTTTTGTAATACTAATATTTTTGCATAGTTATTTAATTCTAATATTTTTGTTTAGTTTTAAAATTCTAATATTTTTGCATAGTTTTGTAATACTAATCATAGTTTTGTAATACTAATATTTTTGCATATTTTTGTAATACTAATATTTTTGCATAGTTTTGAAATTCTAATATTTTTGCATAGTTTTGTAATACTAATATTTTTGCATAGTTTTGTAATACTAATATTTTTGCATAGTTTTGAAATCATAATATTTTTCCATAGTTTTCTAATACTAATATTTTTGCATATTTTTGTAATACTAATATTTTTGCATATTTTTGTAATACTAATATTTTTGCATAGTTTTGAAATTCTAATATTTTTGCATAGTTTTGAAATTCTAATATTTTTGCATAGTTTTGTAATACTAATATTTTTGCATAGTTTTGTAATACTAACACCTTTACACATTTTTGTAAAGACTTTTAAAAGTTTAAATTCTAAAGGTTCTCTAGGTTTAAGTTAACCTTTAGCAACTATGTTGGCTTCATAAATAATTCATCTAAAAGAAAATTGTTATATTTCTGATAATATTTACTGTTTACAAACTACATATCCTTTAAATGTTAAAGGGACAATTAAAAACATTTCCTTTCGAACTTGTTTTTAGATATTAATATCTAAGTTCTGAAAATCCAAAATATTGTTGTGGCGATGAATTCTCCGACTGTGAAAACTGATGCGCCGGTCAGCAGGCCCAAGTATCCTAAATTATTAAATATTGCCATTATATCAGAATTATAAAATACAAATTCAAGAGGGGGGGTGGGGTGATCTTTACATTTATCCACTATGTTAACGTTAAAATTTCTTCAATGATAATTAAAATCATCGTACTTGTTAATTCAATTGGCAAAAGCAACAAAGTGTTGAGGACGTTCCCATCCCTACCACTAAACTTTATTTTTTTTTAAAAGAATTAAATTTAATATAATACAAAACGGTTTGTTTGCCAATTTTTTCCAATGTTTGTAAAACTTGTCAAGACTTCACTGCTCCACCTTTCCTGTTTCAAGGTATTTGCAACATTACATTATTAAAAGTAAATATTATTTAAAAGTTTATTTATTTTTGACATTTTTGTTTTATTTAATAAACTAACTGAACTAAATTCTTCATATTTTTTAGTAATCTCTAAAACAAAGACCACAATATTGATATTTAATGATCATTATGTAATAAAACAAGACATTCTAATATATGTTCCCTGTAGCCGGCCAAACGGCTGGACACTGGGGATGACAAAGGCTTAAAAAGTTCGATTTTTTTCAACATTTTTTTCCACGGGCAACGCCGGGTTCTTCACTTTTTTATTATATAAAATGTCTCCACGAATGAATGCTTAGTGGGACCCGGACACAACTTACACAACTAATACTGTAAGAGAATGTTCAAATAAAGAGTTACCTCCGATAGACGCCAGAAAGGTGATGAACTCATAAACATACTTCTCTTCAGAATATTTCTAAAATATTTTTAGAATAGTAAATAGGTACCTAATGAAAACATATTCTGGTATATGAGAACCTACTTGAAATGTATTCTGGTATATGAGAACTATTTGAAATGTATTCTGGTATATGAGAACTTACTTGAAATGTATTCTGGTATATGAGAACTTACTTGAAATGTATTCTGGTATATGAGAACCTATTTGAAATGTATTCTGGTATATGAGAACTTACTTGAAATGTATTCTGGTAAACGAGAACCTACTTGAAATGTATTCTAGTAAATGAGAACCTGCTTGAAATGTATTCTGGTATATGAGAACCTACTTGAAATGTATCCTGGTAAATGAGAACCTGCTTGAAATGTATTATGGTAAATGAGAACCTACTTGAAATGTATCCTGGTAAATGAGAACCTACTTGAAATGTATTCTGATAAATGAGAACTTACTTGAAATGTATTCTGGTAAATGAGAAACTGCTTGAAATGTATCCTGGTAAATGAGAACCTACTTGAAATGTATCCTGGTAAATGAGAACCTACTTGAAATGTATCCTGGTAAATGAGAACCTACTTGAAATGTATTCTGGTATATGAGAACTTACTTGAAATGTATCCTGGTAAAATAGAACCTAATGAAAATATATTCTGGTAAATGAGAACCTACTTGAAATGTATTCTGGTAAATGAGAACCTACTTGAAATGTATATGATAACCTACTTGAAATATATTCTGGTATATGAGAACCTACTTGAAATGTATTCTGGTAAATGAGAACCTGCTTGAAATATATTCTGGTAAATGAGAACCTACTTGAAATGTATCCTGGTAAATGAGAACCTACTTGAAATGTATTCTGGTAAATTAGAACCTACTTGAGTTGTATTCTGGTAAATTAGAACCTACTGGAAATGTATCCTGGTAAATGAGAACCTAATTGAAATGTATCCTGGTAAATGAAAACCTACTTGAGTTGCATTCTGGTAAATTAGAACCTACTTGAGTTGTATTCTGGTAAATTAGAACCTACTTGAGTTGTATTCTGGTAAATTAGAACCTACTGGAAATGTATCCTGGTAAATGAGAACCCATTTGAAATATATTCTGGTAAATGAGAACCTACCTAAAATGTATCATGGTAAAAAAAGAACCTAATGAAAATGTATCCTGGTAAATAAGAACCTACTTGAAATGTATCCTGGTAAATGAGAACCTACTTGAAATGTATTCTGGTAAATGAGAACCTACTTGAAATATGTTTCCTGGTAAATGAGAACCTACTTGAAATGTATTCTGGTAAATGAGAACCTACTTGAAATGTATTCTGGTATATGAGAACCTACTTGAAATGTATTCTGGTAAATGAGAACCTACTTGAAATGTATTCTGGTAAATGAGAACCTACTTGAAATGTATTCTGGTAAATAAGAACCTACTTGAAATATATCCTGGTAAATGAGAACCTACTTAAAATGTATCCTGGTAAATGAGAACCTACTTGAAATGTATCCTGGTACATGAGAACCTACTGGAAATGTATTCTGGTAAATTAGAACCTACTTAAAATGTATCCTGGTAAATGAAAACCTACTTGAAATGTATTCTGGTAAATGAGAACTTACTTGCATAGTTTTCTAGTATTAAGAACCTTCTTGAAAATCATCTTGGCATTAACCCTATTCCTGCTGGGGGGGGGGTCAATTTGACCCCCCCCCCCCGTAGTTTTTTTTACATAAATCAAAAAGTGTTGGTCTGAGGCTGTTGAAATTTTCTGACTTTTCTTACATACCCAAAGCCCTCCCTTTAGGCCTAAAACCGGGCTTTAATACTAACTGCCTGAGTCCTCAGGCACACTGCCTGAATGACTGCTTTTGCCTGTAACAAACTAAACTTTTGTTTTGACCCACTTTCACTTGTCAGATTTTGATAAAATTTAGCTTTTTGGAAAGGAAACGGATTGCACAAGTTTTGCGAAAGAAATTTGCAAATTTTTTGCAAACAACCGGTCAAAGGAAATTTGCACATTTTTGTTTTTCTTGATTAAAAATCAGGTTATTTAAAATTTTGCAAAAATTTTTGCATATTTGAAATAGCATGGTCAAGGGCTTTTCAAAAATGTATAATTTTTCATTTTTTTGACAATTTTTTTTTGCAAACATTTTTACTATATAACTGGATTTTGCGATAAAAAATTCAATTTTTGCAAATTTGCAAATTTTTTTGCAGATTCTAAAAGTAGAGCATTTGTCATATTTGGACATCAAACATGGGATTTAGAGGGGGGGTCAAATTGACCCCCCCCCCCCCTAGCATATCCTGGTTTTCAAGTACCCCAGCAGGGAAAGGGTTAATAAACTACTTGAAAATTCTCCTGGTATTAAGAACCTAATTCAAAAGTTTCCTGGTATTAATTACCCTACCTGGAAATTTTCCTGGTATTAAGAACCTAATTGAAAATTTTCCTGGTATACGAAAACCTAATTAAAAAGTTTCCTGGTATTAATTAACCTACCTGGAAATTTTCCTGGTATTAAGAACCTAATTGAAAATTTTCCTGGTATACGAAAACCTAATTAAAAAGTTTCCTGGTATTAATTAACCTACCTGGAAATTTTCCTGGTATTAAGAACCTAATTGAAAATTTTCCTGGTATACGAGAACCTAATTAAAAAGTTTCCTGGTATTAATTAACCTACCTGGAAATTTTCCTGGTATTAAGAACCTAATTGAAAAGTTTCCTGGTATTAAATAACCAACCTGGAAATTTTCCTGGTATACGAGAACAACATTCCCTCCAATGTGATCGCAAGGTTTGATAGAGAAAGCAGGGTACACTAGTTTATTAGATATAAACCTGATACTGTTACATGGTTCAGGGCATGAGGCTAAAAAAAGAAAAAATTAAAACTAGTGTTTTTATAAATAAAAACCAACTCACCAATCGCTGCTCTTAAACGGTACGCACTTGTGTGATATTGTCCCGCTGTGCATTCATTTCGTCCCACTAAGATCCCACTGTGGTTTATCATGTTCCTGAGTGGTGATAGGAAACAATTGTCCGGGGTTTCTAGGGTTTCCAATATCTCTTGGTAGCATCTAGACCTAGTCCTATATTCTTCCAGGATATTGGAGTAGTTTAAGTTCAAACCTGAGCCTTCATCACAACTAAACAAGATGTTTAGTTGGTGCTACTGAGAACCAGAAAACTGTGGAATAAATGTCGTCTTTTTCCGTTTTGTACATTCTTAGTTCAACTACAATACATTGTCAGTCATTGCCTTTAAGAAATCTTTAACTGTATTTTATATTTAAACAAAGCAAACAGTTTTACTATTAGCTGAAACATCCCTTAATTTAAATGGGTCTGTGTACACTGCGCATTTGCTGTGTCACATGTTTATTTGAACTATTCAAAATCATAACTTGAGTCTAAAAGTCGTCTTTCCATTCCAGAGTTTTCTGTTTCACAATTTTTACCTACTACCTAGTACCTGTTCTGTACTTTAGGGAGCAGTTTAAAGTACTCTGCTCTCACAGTTTGCTGATAAACTCCTTTCTTTAGAATAGATAAACCTTGTTAAATCTGGTCCCAAACTATATAAGTACACTGTTAGAAAAACATTTCTTCCAAATCTGGTAAAATGCTGTCGAAGAACAAATAGGTTCCATGAAAACCACTAAAAAAACCTCCCATTACTTATATTTATTGTCACACTTCTTATAATTAACTTGACCAGAAAATGTTACTGTCATAGGAAATATATTGATTAAAACAAGAAAAAACTTCTGTTCCAGTATTTATAATGAGTGCTAGATAACATGCAAATTTGAAAATTCTATCGCAATAAGTGTGAGTTCTGTCACATTATTCTCCGAGTTAGCAATCTTTTGTCACACCATTTAATAATGCTTTGACAAGCGATATATCTCCTATCTCCCAGGTTATAGTGTACACAGTACACACAGTGTACACTTTTCAGCAGTTTATCTAAAATGTCGGACAAAGAAGTTGTGCCAGGGATTATTTACGACAAAAACCTTTTTTTTCAGCCATAATCATGGGGTTTTTGTATTTTTATTNATTATCGTCACAGAAGAAATAATTGGTGCGCAAGCATATATGAAAGATTAAAGTGTACGGATTAGAATACGCACAAAATCATTTAATTCACGGGAGAAATCGCTACTGAGACGTAATAATAATTTTGTGTCGCGTAACTTATATTAGCTGGAGAAAGTTTGCAAGTTCCGTGACAGCAGATATATTGCACGGGAAATCAATTATTTTGCACGGGATAACACTTATACATACTGGGAGAACAATTTCCGAGATAAACGTCGCAACTAATATAATTGTTGAACCATGCAATATATTGCAGTGTAACCTGACAAATTGTATATATTGCACGGGACAGAAGAAGTTTTTCTAACAGTGTATGCACTTAAAGGATCGTGTTTTACAGTGACCAGTATTTAAAGAGTGGTGTATCTGATTCACAAGGAAGCTCTTTAGAGCTTAATATGGGCAGGAAAAAGTGATATTCTCATGATTTAAATTTGAAGCTTGTTTATTTTATGTGGTTGTTTTCTGATTTGCTACAACAGCTAGAACAATTGACAGCGTTAAGTTTGACACAGGAGGGATGATACTGGGATGATAGTTTCCGACCTGTTTACTCAGTTAGCTGTACTGTACACTACACTTACAACTGTTTACTAATAATGATATACTAGAGGTTAGGCCAGAATCAACTTATAATAAACAAATATGCAGTACGCTCTCGGTATAGTTCATGGCCTAAAAATTAGTAAAGGATTAGCGTACATCATCACTCCATATACACCATAACCTCGTTGACAATAAAAATATCAAACTTAACGCTACATAATATTTCCATTTTGCTAAAAATAACATACATTTTCTGAAAAAATCGAACTTCTTCATAAAAAAAATCTTTGTTTTTAATAAAAGGACTTTTTAGTTGTTTTGGCAAATATTTAGGAACCATTACCAAATACTCAAGTGATATACGGATATTGGTAAAATCATATATAAAAATATAAATGGAAGGTAATCTTGTCCTGATTAAACTTCTGAATTTCTCCTCCTGTAGCCAACAACCTACCCAGAGCAAAGTCATCTATTTGATGAGGACCTCAACAATATTCAATAATATTATTAGCACTGTCAGTAGAGTTTCCAGTGAAAAGGAAATATCGTATCGCGAAATTTCGGATTTTTTTGCGGAATTTTTTCTTTCTCTACCATTTTGCTTCATTTTGGCATTTCGTTTGTTCGCGAAAAAATTATGTCAATAATGTTATTTAAAGGGAACCCCTGAAATCATAAAATGATTACTTTTCAAAGAGTAATATCATTGATATCTCATTTTTGATTAAAAAAAATTGTATGGGGAGAGTTGTGTATCGGACGTGTCTATTTACAAATGGAGGGTTACTTTACGTCTGCAAGTTCCGATCCCTAAAAAACATCAAGGTTTGTCCTTCTGACCTGAGAATACGATAGAAATAGACTGGTTTTTAGGTAAACAAAATACATCGGCATCATTAGGATCTCTTTGCTCTACTGATGCCTGAAAGTAATTTTGCAGCGAACTGTGATTATATTTTTGAAGTTTTTAAAAATTAGTTTATGATATAGCAAAGCAAAATATAACCAAAATTTTATTCAAATATTAGGCTGGGTCTATTTTTAAAGCCTTTTTAGCATATCTGTATCTGTATCTGTATCTGTATCTGTATCTGTATCTGTATCTGTATCTGTATCTGTATCTGTATCTGTATCTGTATCTGTATCTGTATCTGTATCTGTATCTGTATCTGTATCTGTATCTGTATCTGTATCTGTATCTGTATCTGTATCTGTATCTGTATCTGTATCTGTATCTGTATCTGTATCTGTATCTGTATCTGTATCTGACAATTATACGAAATTTGCGAAAAGGTAATCTAATAGGAACTGACTTTGCATCTCAAACTCAAATTTGTAAAACCTTAAATTGAGAGTTTAACGCCTGAAATCATCGGTGGAAATGAGAGCGATAATATCTCAGATTTGAAAATAAATTACTCGACCCTCAGATTGAAAGCAAATAAATATTACATTTGTAGGATGATGGGATGTGAAAGATTGACAAGCTGTTGTGCAATGAAGTTGTGAATTACCTTTTTGGTTAAACAAATACCATTAAAGAGTGTGTACGTGATATAAAAGTGATCCCTGAGTTCTTTGCTAGAATATCCTTCCATATTCTTGATTTCAGACTTGAGCTTGAACGGAGTTCCAACATATTTAAGAATAGTTTCAACATCAACATCAGTATCTGGACAAATTCAATTGCAAAGCTGTAAAACTGTTTTTTTTTTAGAAATAGGGTTTCCATTAGCAAAACTTTTGCGCAATTTTTGCGGAACGAAACGCAAAATTTTTCTTTCTATGCGCGCATCAGTTTTGCGCGAAAAAAAACAACAATTTGCGCAATCATTCGCAAAAGTCATTTCGCGCAAAATTGCCCTATTCCGCTTTTTCGAAACTCAAGTTTTGCGCAATTCCGCAATTTCGTACCAAAATCCGAAACAGATTGTCCAGTAAAAGTCTCGACAATTTTAGTTTTGGACATGGATATTTCCTAAAAGTGGATTCTTCAGGCATTGGTTATTTTCTTGCATTATTTTATACGAGATAAAAAAGATTTCAGAAATTTGATTAAAAAAATTTAAGAATATAATTCATACTTGATTAGGCAAAGCTTTTAAGGGTCACTTGAAATTATTTAATAGGATTAAAATATTGCCAAGTTTCACACTCTCTAATTTCTATTTTATTAATTTTGGTCCCTTAATTTAAACTTTTTGTTACTGGAAGCTACCAATTGAGTTATCGTTATCGTTATCATACTCGTATGTTAATATTTTTTATGTATGGAATAAATCTTCAGTTGTTTAATTCTAAGCTTAGAATATCAATTTTTGACAATGTGCCTAAATTGCGCAAAAAAATTGCGCAAAACTAAAATTTCGTTTCATGCGCGCAACTTTCGAAAAACATATTTCCGGTTTCGCGCAAATTTCGCAAAAATAGCGCAAAAGTTCGCAAATTTTGCGCAAAAGAATTAGCCATTTCGTGGAAACCCTATATTAGAAACGATGAAGTCTTTGCACTGCTGGAATATTCGGCGCTATGAATTTTTTGCTGGAGCTTGTTTTGGCTCCTCAATTCAGATTGAGATTTTGTTACAAACTCAAATTTGTTTATCCCTATATCTTTGTAATCTAATGGCGTAAACCTGTGAAATCAACTTAGACAATTCAATCTATTATAATTTATAGTTTGAAATATCAAAGGTCTACGACATCGGGTTGCAAAGATTTCTATAGGGATTAGACTTTGTGGCTAAGAACTCATTTATTTTAACAACTTTTGAAACTTTCAGAAAATACAGAGTATTTTGTTTGTATTTTTCTAAAACCTTGGTGATAATACAGATTGAGATGGGATGCTTTACATTGGGAATTTAAGGTTTCACGCTCTCTAGCAAAAATCGATTCGAGTTAGAGCTGTAAAATCTAAGCCCAAGGCGTTGCGACACTTCAAAGTCGACACCCCTGTCTTAAAAATTGATGAGACTGTTTATAATCAGGCTAAATCTATATGGCTTACTATTGTCCGGAAGTGTATCACTGCAGATTGTGATTGCAGGAAACGGATTCAGTTCGTCAGACGACAAACTGTCATATCTCTCAGTGATAAAACTTTTCCCAGATCTAATTAAACAAAATGACATGAATATTCGGGCATTTGGCAAATTAAATATGTAAAGGAACTGATATCTTGTGTCAAACTGAAATTCACCAATTCCTATCTTTGAAAATAATTAAGTTCGGTGGTTTATATTTCCATGGCGTAGTGGTTGAATAATTAGAGTTTGAGGCGAGATTTCAGTTCTTTTCAAACAATTGTTTATGTCTAAGCCTTTTATAAGGTTCAGTTTGATAAAGCTAAAGCTAAGAAAACACTATGAAAAGTGTTAGAGAGGTTTCAAAATGTAAAAAAACAGAAAGATGCTAATAAAAATATAAATTTGTGCTTTTAACAAAGAATATGAAGTTTCACAATTCAGGTCCAAATATAATTTTATTAATTTAAAAAAAACTAGACCAAAATCCTTGAAATTACTAACAAAGAAACTTCAAAATGACTGTTAGGTCTTTCAGTCTTTGTTAACTGTGTTCACCTGTACTCCTGGAAAAGAGACCATATTTGAATTAAAGCAATACCAAGGCATAAAGTAAAAAATAAATATCTAATAATAGTGCCTCCAGGCATAGCGAGGATAGATTAAACACTAGGTTTCAATATTACAGGGGTGGACTCTAGCCTACAGGAGTACAACCCCTTCTTGTTTACTCTTTCTGAGTTTAAAAAAAAACATGACGTAACAGAAACCTTAATCTGGAAGATAATTTCGTCTTTCCAGCTTTAATAGTGTTTAATTCTAATAAACAGTCCAGCGTTTCAGAAGCAAGAAGAGCACCACAAATGAAAATAATCAGCTTTCAAAAACAAAATTAAGAAAAATATGGATATCCAAATCATACTTGACCAGACACCAGCATTCAAGAGTACCTTTGCGAATCTAGATGTAAGTTGCTTGAAATTAAGTTAAAAGTCCCTTTAAGTAAAAATATTATAAATGAAAATGAAGCCAACACCTTTAATAAACGAGTGAAGAAGGGTTTTGTTGACATTACATATATTTGTAAGTTTGAACAAGTTCGCTTAAAAGAGATGGATCAGGTCAATCATATGCATTTCAAAGTTTAGTTCGAAATCAAGGAATGGTTAAACAGAACAATTGTATAAAACCTTGTAATTTTATTATAGGGAGAGACTGTCTATGCATGGTAGTTAAGTTGAAAGTGCAGTATTACAGAGAAAAACTTTATAGGATTCATTTGAATAGATGACAATGAGACATTTTTACGTAGTAAAATTATAAAATAAGACGTACACTCGGTTGTAATATATCACCAGTTGTTTCAGCCAGCACAAGAAACCTTTTTTACACTTAATCAATAACTTGGACAAAACATAAAATTATTTTACAGACTAATTTGCTGTTCAGGAATATATTTCTAAAAAGAATTTATTGATGAAAGCCATAGTAGAACCGTAGAATCGATTATTTCATTAATAATATTACCTTTCCTATATTTTTAATTTTATTAGCGTATTTATTCAAAATTTCCTGTTCACAATTAAATAAAGAAAACCTCCAACAAGCAACCCTAGCTGAAAGAAATAAACCTGCGAGATTTTAAAATGAATTTTAACAACTTATTTCTAATGATATGTTCATATATAATTTCTCAAAATCTATTTTATTCTATTTATTTTTATATATTTTTCTCAAAATCTTTGTATACATTCAACTTCTGCAACTAGTATGTAGCATACATACATAGTCTCGATATTAAGAAAAAGAGAGGATCACGCATTAATCTCGATAAATCCCAATTCTAAAGTTTTTAGCTGGTTATTCAAGAATTGTAAAAAACGTTTCTTCTGCTGGCTGAAACAACCGGTAAAACATTACAAGTGACTTTACGTTCTTGTTTAAAAATTGTACTCCGTATAAATGTCTAATTGGGATCAAATGAATCTTAAAGGTTTCCTCTACAATACTACACTTTCAGCTCAACTGCCATTCATAACCGGTCTTCCCCTTTCACTGTTGATAGAATTTATTCTTAATATGCAGAATATTTTGTGTAACTTAAAATTATACTGTTTGTAAAATCTATATTCTATTAAAAAAAAACTTGAAATCAGACTGAAAGCTTGAGAAGTATGGTTCAAGTATAGTTCTGAGTGGAAAACTTAATTAATCCCGATATATCGGTTAATTAATCTGGATTCTGGAGATTAATAACACAAGGAGAACAAGCATTTTTTAATCTGGATATTAAGAAAAAGCATTTATCTCGATATCCACCATTCTATAGTTTTCAGCTCAGGTATTCTTCTTCTTGCTCTTCATATAATACAACCTTTAAAACGTTGTTAAACTGTTGTATAACTATCTGTGAAAAGAAGTTAAAGGGGCTGTAAACGTAATTTTTTGTGAATTCTTGTGCTAAATTCACAATGATACCTATAAAAGCTTTGTCTGATTAAGAATGAATAAGATATGTATCCAATATCCATGTTTATAATTTAAAAACTGTTTATTTTCTATTGTGGTTTCACTACAAAAGTGACTTGCGCATTTCTATGTATACTGTAGGAAAACTGATGATAGAAATGTTAAAAAAAAATACTTTTAAACCTAGAAAAAAAACGACAGTATATCCCACATTATTGATTAGAAAAAAAACAATGTTTTTAATCGGGCATTGACATATTTGCATAGAGTGTCACGTAAAATTATAAAATACGTTATATAAATATATATATATATATATATTTGGAATATAGATGCTTTTTAAAGCACGGATATGGCTGAATGCCTGAATAGTCTGTACACAATGTTACATAATAATTATAGCTCCGGTTGCATGGAAACCATGCAACCTTGTGTTTTTTTCAAATTGTAAGTTTGCTCAGTAGATATTTAGGTTTTAGTTGGAGAAATGAAAATCACTGTACATAGGAATTTTATTTGCAATCCCATTATGTCTTCTATTTTCTTTTTGATCTTTGCAACTATATTTTAAACTATCAATTCTGCTACATTAAAGTACTGTGTTTGTTTTTATTTCTCTAGACTCTGCAGTACACTAACTTTGTAAACAAAATGTCGGATGCTCTTTAAATAATTTGGTTCCGCCAAAACCCTGGATATTTTTTTTCAAATCAAAGTTTTATCAAACTGGAAATTTCTGGTTTGATTTTTGTATATAGCATCACAAATGCACTTTCCTTCATTTAGTACCAAGAAATCTTCGCAATGTTTAGGTAATATAATCGGTAGTAAAATTTTAAAGAAATCTTTTATTTGAAATTTATAAATAGTTGTTTAAGGGCTTGCGGCTTAATTTCAGTTGGCATGTCTGATTTATGGACTACCCTTTAAACCTTTCTCCGATCATGATTGAATGATTTATCCTTATTTTTCTCTCGTAAAGTTGATTATTTTCAATGTTGGCTTAATGTTTTGGAGGAATTGTCTGAATTCAATACGTTCTTACAGTTCAATGATTTCAAATAAGTATAAATTGTATTTTAACATATATTTCTTGTTGGTGTTAAAAGAAACTTTACAGAATATTTATGTTTTGTTCTTAATCATTCGCTAAATGGTGCAAATATAATTTAACCCTATCCCCGCTGGGGTACTTGAAAACCAGGATACGCTGGGGGGGGGATCAATTTGACCCCCCCCCTCTAAATCCCATGTTTTATGTCCAAATATGACAAATGATACATCATTAGAAAGCTCTTGTGCTCTACTTTTAGAATCTGCAAAAAAATTTGCAAATTTGCGAAAATTGAATTTTTTTATCGCAAAATCCAGTTTTATAGTAAAAATGTTTGCAAAAAAAAATTTGTCCAAAAAATGACAAATTATACATTTTTGAAAAGCCCTTGACCATGTCATTTCAAATATGCAAAAATTTTTGCAAAATTTTAAATAACCTGATTTTTAATCAAGAAAAACTAAAAATGTGCAAATTTCCTTTGACAGGTTTTTTGCAAAAAATTTGCAATTTTTTTCGCAAAACTTGTGCAATCCGTTTCCTTATGTCATAGGCTTTCCAAAAAGCTAAATTTTATCAAAATCTGACAAGTGAAAGTGGGTCAAAACAAAGATTTAGTTTGCTACAGGCAAAAGCAGTCATTCAGGCAGTGTGCCTGAGGACTCAGGCAGTTAGTATTAAAGCCCGGTTTTAGACCTAAAGGGAGGGCTTTGGGTATGTAAGAAAAGTCAGAAAATTTCAACAGCCTCAGACCAATACTTTTTGAGTTATGTAGAAAAAACTACAGGGGGGGGTCAAATTGACCCCCCCCCCCAGCGGGAATAGGGTTAATATGATATGGGACACTCTGTACCTCTGTACTAGCTACGTCCATACAAATGTATGGGTTGTTTTGCTTTGTTTAGAGGACCAGTGTCCGAATTTAATGAATTTAAGCCATGTCTCAAATCCCCCAAAAAGCGGTGTTAATTGACCGCCGGCTTAAATCTTGAAAAATTTAATACAAATTTAAGTGGAACAAACCATATTTGAGCCTCGGCTTAAATTTAAACCGCGGCTCAAATTCTTTAAATTCGGCCTCAGTAATACACACAATTCAGAATGACAAGATACTGTTCAGTTAAAAATTGTTTTCATCAAAGGATCATATATATATCAAGAAATATATAGTTCCTTGATAAATATTATCTTTGTTTTCACCTTTATAATCTGCATAAACAATCTGTTTTGATGTATCTAGGTTTAGGATGTATCCACATCATCCACACCTTAAAGCAGTCATAACCTACAGCTTTGCAAAAAGTCTTAACAACAGTTCACATATAATAAACAATAATTCATAACAGATACATTATGATTCATACCAGCTCCACAATAATTCATAACAGATACATTATGATTCATAGCAGATCCACAATAATTCAGAACAGATACATAATGATTCATAGCAGCTCCACAATAATTCATAACAGATACATAATGATTCATATCAGCTCCACAATAATTCAGGACATATACATAATGATTCATAGAAGCTCCACAATAATTCAGAACAGATACATAATGATTCATAGCAGCTCCACAATAATTCATACGCTGTGTACTCAGATGTTTGAGAAATTCTGATCTCCTTCACCATAACTAAAGTATTGAAATAGTTTAAGGACCTTTTTGGTGTATTTAGAGTGAAGAACTCAATATTGTATAAGTTTCTACTATATTAGATACAAGTTCGTCCTGGTTTTGGTTTGTTTGGTGTTTGGTCTGGAGGTTAGAGCTGAACCTGAACCAGAATACTGTGATTGTGAAAGGTAAAATGATTGGAGAAAAAAAAGGCTAAAAATAGAATAATAAGATTAAGAGATAAAAGATTGGCATAAAAGAAAATTTCATAATAAACATTAATAAAATTGAAGAAAAAAATGTAAAAATATACATATGTTCGTAATAGCTGGCCATATGGCTAAACCAAATAAGCTGACATTTTTCGAGGGAACCCATGGGTACCCGAGGGGTAAATTGGTGAAAAAATGGATTTTTTTAAATTCTTCCGGTAAATCTGGGCACTTCAGTTTCAAAAGATAATATCTGCTTCTTTTGTAGATTCAACCCCTAGAGGTTCATGTCCTCTGGATGAAAAGATTATAAGGATTTTCAACTAAAAATGCTGAACTCTTAATGGAACTGTTAAGGAAAAATGAAAGGGGGTGCAGGCTGAAACCTAAACACTATAGGAGTTGATCGCGACCTATATATGAGTTCTATCTGATGTTCCTGTCTCGAGAAGTTGATATAAAACTCTGTCAACGTAATGCCAAAACTGATGTAATCAAAGTTTTAAACAGATTCATATGGTTCCGAAGCCAGATGGGTCATGGCGACCTTGTGGCGATATTAAGCAAATGCACAACGAATTTGAAAAATAGAATAACCCAGAGGAGCCTAAACAACTTAGGTACGCTCCTATTATAATTTGAACATATTACTTATCCATTTTTAATAGATTTAATTAATAATATAATTGATATGTATCCATCACATGACTAGAATTTCCACCAATGGCAATACAGTATCATTGTCATGTGTCTCTGTCTGTATAACGTTGGTTGGTATAAGGTTGATACATTTTTATATCAATTTCTCGCGATAGGAACATCAGATAGAACTCATATATAGGTTGCAATAAATTCCTAAAGTGTTTAGGTTTTATCCTATACCCCCTTTCATTTTTCCTTATTAGTCCCTTTAAGCAATATATTTTAAATATTCATTTTTTCTAGTGCTGAAGATGTACTTGAAGGTAGCGGAGATGAAGGTGTGTGCGGAGAGGATGGATTAGATTATGCTAATGAATGTTCTGCTCTGTGCTCCAATACAAGCATAGCTTGTAATACCACCTGTCCATGTTATCAGTTCTTAACCCTAGTGGATGAGTTAGAGGACTTCTGCAACTGTTCAAGGTTATATTTTAAACAAGGATACTTCAGAATTTGAAAACAACAAGAAGATCTTTCTAAAAGAATTACACTGAAATTTTAAAGATTGTATAAAACGATTGTTTGTACTTCCTTTGAGCTTTCCAACGGGGTTAGTTGTACTTTATCTTGAAAGTTGATTAGAACTATTTTGACTTTATTCAAAAATACGAAGTCTGTTAACGTCTGCGTTAAAAGTACAAGAATATGACATCACAAGATTTTCTTAGACTTTGTCTGCGTACATTTCAAGAACAATGCGTAAAATATTTACAATATTTTGATGATTTTTCTTTTCTTTTTCATTTAAGACAAGCGCTCTGCGCTCAATATTCAACAAATATCTACATAATGAAAATGCTTATTTTTGAAGTATTGCATTGTCTCTGTCTCTTTAGAACTGAACTGTCTGACAAAATGAGGGTTAGGTTAGGTTAAGACAATTTCTGGGCCGAGCGCTGCGGCTAGGGGGCCACAAGTCCATATAGCAGCTGTAAAACCACTTGCTAGTCGGTCGGATGTGTAGTAGAGCGGATTTGGCGTAGGTCAGAAGTGGAGTATAGCGGATTTGCGTAGGTCGAAAAACACACCATCCAAAATTTTGTGATGTCAATTTTCTTGTTGCAGTATTGAAGGCTCAGCTGAGTGTGGTGAGGATGGGAACGTGTATATCCGGTTTGAGACTGCTTGTGCTGCAACATGCTCGAACAAAACAACTGACTGCCCGGAGGGATGCCCCTGCTACTATTATTACTATGATTATCCAGACTATCTAAACACAACAGATTTATATTATAATTATGAAGATGAAGAAACTGAAGAAACTAGTTCCACTTAATCGGGATTTAAGTAAAATTATTTTCATCCATGACAAAAAAAAAACATCCGACAAAAATTTTGTAAAACTATTAAAATTTAAATATAATCATAATTTTCTACTTATCTTTAAAAAAGAAAGCTTTTGGATTTTCAGGGGGAAGTCCTTATAAATATAAATATAGAGGGGAAAAATTAAATACTTTTTCCTTGTATTTTGTCTTCATGGCCAACAATTGTGCACCTTACTAAAACTTAATTAAAACTCTTTTCCATAGATAAAGATAGATTGCGCATAAGACGACATTTTTCATCTTGAAAGATATAAATGTACAGCGATGTTTTAAAGATATTCCTATATATAGATTAACTAGGTCGGTTGTGAACATTGGCTGTTCGTATGTCATTGAGTACTTGTGGTGTACATGAGTTCTGTAGAGAGAAATTTAAGTTAGTTTAGTCCTTCTCATGTCCTTCTTCAGTTTTCGTCAATATGATATATAGCTCAGTGAAATATTTTTGTTCAAATAGTTCTATTCCCGGAGTTATTTTACACTCTATTATGAATCCATTAAAACACCAAACCACCCGGCTTATCATTGAAGTACAATTTGACCCCTAGAAGTATGAATTCGCGGACTGTACAATTCTTGGTGATTTTGCGTACATAAGCTATCTATGCTCTTTTCCAAATAACCTTATTCGATGTGTTCTTACGATACCTTACCCTCCTTCAAGCGTATCTTCTGCCAACCTTTTCCTAACATTAAGATAATCTTTCCATTCTTCAAGCATACAATTCTCCCATGTTTTACTACGCTTTTCTCCACCTGATCTCCATTACCATATCTCCCACCTTTCGCCCAACATTGTTTTTAAAAAAAGACAACAACATTTGCCAAAAAGTACAAATAATTCAAGCAGTGAATTCAATCGTTAAAATACTGAAATTAACGTTTTTCTTGTAGACGTTGTTGCTGAATACAAAAATAAAATATTATATGTATGTATTTGAAAATAGGTAAACAATCTCTTTCTTTCTTTTCCCACAGTATAACCCATAAAATCCTGAAAAAGACGACGACATTTGTGTGTATATGATGTTTTTGAAAGCAATTGCTATGGTGTATGTTAACTGGACTATTTAAATCATAACTTAAGTCTGCTGTCGTCAACCTATTCCACAGTTTAACGGTTACCACTGTATTCCACAGTTTAACGGTTACCACTGTATTCCACAGTTTAACGGTTACCACTGTATTTTTTGTCCCTTTACCTTCATTAAACAACCCCTCTGAAATAAATAAAGAAAGAAGTATTGCGAAAACTAATAAACATTAAATATTCTCGTTTTTATTTGAAATTCAGTAATTATAGGCCTTTTAGGCAAGTTCTTTGAAAACCTGTCAAAGCATTCAATGATATTTTAATCCCGTGAATTAGCAGTGAAATGATTTCATAAATAAATTCAATATGTTTACATACATACATATAATGTAAACATGACTTTTCTTGTTTTTAGCGTGCATTTCTCACGCAATAGTTTCTTTATAAGCAGGATGCATTTCAATTCTAAACACAGTCAACATGAACCTCTTTAGTCAGATTTTCATTCAGCTCGTCAGGTGATTAATTTATCCGTATACGCTACATTAAGTTTTATTTATATCTGTTGGTTTTTATTGTTTATGATCATAATCATGGTTTATTTATTTTTCGATCATGAACCTCTTGACCGATTTGACTAAAGTTTTAATGGAGTAACTCGGTAGAGCCACGGGAGTGTTCTTGGCCTAGTTTATAAATTGAGTTATATATCTGACGAAGCTGTGTTCCCAAGCTAGTATCCTTCTGAAATAAAGTCTCAACACTAATGTTATCAATAGAATAATATTTAGAGATTTTACTTGAATATCCAGGGAACATAGTAAAAAAATCCAAAAAATTATGAACAAACCAATTTTAAAAAGACTTTTAAGATATTGGATTCTTCTCTCGTTAAACAATGATTTATGATCTGAGAGAGTGAGACACGTGAGATTCAAATCATCGGTTTAATTTTCGGTGACACCAGGGGCGGATACAAGGGGGGGGGCGGCAGGACCTTCACACCCCCATGACGGATTCAGAATAGTTCCTCAATAGCACTTAAGGAGAGGAAACCTAGTGCAAAACAGGAAAAATGTCTATCTTAAAAAATCCTAAATCTGGATGTTTTTGTACCGAAATAAATATAGCACCCCCCTCACTTAGATCCTGTATCCGCCCCTGGGTGACACCAAATCTATTTTAATTCCTGATCAAAGCCCAAAGGGCCTGTAAACATAATTTCAATGTGGTCCTGTATTTATAGAGTGACATATCAGATTCACAACAGTACTTTTTAATATTTTGTCAAGGATGAGTTAGATGTCCATGTTTAAATTTTTTAAAACTTATTTTTAATTATGGTGTCTCAACAAAAATGACTTGCGCATTTCTGGTGTATGAAAACCAGGCTAGAATTGTCGAAATAAAACACTTTTTAATCTAGAAAATTTATGTTATCTCTCACATTTTTGATGAGATAAAGTTTTCAAGGGTAATGTTGTGAATCGGACATGTAGGTTTCCTTAAATTATGACGTAAGTCTGTTCAATCTGATGAACACTGTACCTGGGGATAATATTAATTACAAAGAGAATAGAATATATATTAGAGTGGAATTTAGTCAATCCCTCGGTATGAATTTTGTCAGTCCCTTTCAGCCTGAAAGGGAGTTCAAAGTGTAAAAATAATGTAAATTTTCACACATTATATGCAGTAGAGTACATTAATACAGTATGTTCCCTAGATTATCCATCTCAATTTCGAATTTTTAAAGCTGTTAAATAAACTTTATAAAATGAATTAGGTGAATAAAAAAAATCATTTGATTTATAGTTATAACGGAAAATCATCGTTTGTAAAGTGAAAGGCATAGAGTCTATGTGAAATGAAAGAGCCTATTTCATAATTTGGTTTTCTTTTAATATTAATTTTAGACTTTCTATAAAATGATGTGCCAGGGCCCAAAAGGTTATATAGCACAAATATTTTGAAGTACACCTGCAGTATGGAAACAGTACAACAAAATGGCAGTTTTACACTTTTTTCTAGTAAATTCCACTCTAATATATATTCTATTCTCTTTGATTAATAATAAACTGTTTTGTACAGTGTGAGCCTGGGGCTATGTACTGCACAAAACACAGTGTACGGTTCAAGCCCGTACACCAATACTACGTTATCAAGAATCCAACATGGACGATACAAGAGAGCATTTAATAACCTCTCTCCTCTAACATTAAGTAAGATACAACATACAACTAATACAAAGGAATTGTGTCTTTGCCACAAACTCTAATTTTCTAATCCCTATATCTGAGCAACCCAATGTTGTAGACCTCAGACATGTTAAACTGTGAATTCTGTTTTATTAAATAATCTAAATTTTAAATGCCAAAGGTTCATACCTTCAGGTTTCAAAGATATAGGCATTCGAATTTTTGTTTTTGTGGCAAAAACTCAGTTCCTTATACAATATTTTTTTTAAAACTCTGACAAAATGTTTACTGTTTATAATAATATTCGATCCGTTAATTCTAATTTTAATAATATTCTTCAATTTCAATAAAGATTACATATCGAGTAAAACTTTCTTTCGAAAATAATAACCATTATGATATTGATATCAAAGTTACAGTTAGTTAGTTAAAGTTAGTTATAGCTTCCGAAACATGAACTCAATGATAGTTTCCAAATCAAAATTTCGATGATATTTTCCGAAACAAAATGATAGTTTTTAAACTATGATCTTGATAGTTTCCAAATTATAATGTCCAAAATAGTTTCCAAAATATGATTTTAATAATAGTTTCCAACTCCAGTTTCCTTGATGATAATCTTGATGTTAGTTTCCAAACCATGATCTTGATGATAGTTTTTCAAACCAAAATCTTAATGATAGTTTCCAAAACATAATCTTGAAGTTAGTTTCCTAACCATGATCTTGATAAAAGTTTCCAAACCATTATCTTGATGATAGTTTTTCAAACCAAAATCTTAATGATAGTTTCCAAAACATAATCTTGAAGTTAGTTTCCAAACTATGATCTTGATAGTTTCCCAACCATAATCTAGAAGTTAGTTTCCAAACCATGATCTTAATGATAGCTACCAAACCATGACCTTGATAATTTCCAAACCATGATCTTGATAATTTCCAAACTATTTACTAAAAATTTGTATATTTTAGGCTCCTCGTTTTCTCTAACAATACCGTTAACTGATCTAGCCACTAGTCTAACAGCAACAGTTCCTTTTAGTTTCAACTTCCCTACCGCTTCTACTGCTTCAGGAAGGTAAGTCAACTCATGTCCTAATAAATATTTAGAAAGCATGTTGCGGTTTATTTGACTATGAAATGTTTCAGAAAAACAGCTTCTTAGAGCTTAGAAACATTCTAAACTTTTTCCACACTTCTTTTTCAACTAATTTTTTATTTATTTCGTGAACGTACATAATTTAAATAAGTGGTACAAATTAAAACAGACAAAAAAAATGTATATATCAAAATAAATACAAATACAAGAAAAACATCATACAATAATAAGGTCGCGCAGATAAAATTAATAATATCGTCAATCTCCGCTTGGTCAACTCCATTGATAACAATCTTATTGTTTTTTTCAGAAATTAGTTCATTTAAAAATGAAATCCTCCATTCTTCTTCCAATTTTTTACAATACAATTTAGTTGCGCCCTTGTATCTTGTACTGTCTAGGTCCTTGTATCTTGTACTGTCTAGGTCCTTGTATCTTGTACTGTCTAGGTCCTTGTATCTTGTACTGTCTAGGTCCTTGTATCTTGTACTGTCTAGGTCCTTGTATCTTGTACTGTCTAGGTCCTTGTATCTTGTACTGTCTAGGTCCCTGGGTCTTTATGATTATGGAGATGAATATGAAGGAAGAAGTTTCGGTTCAATCCCAACAATGGCGGCTCAGAGAAAGGGTATCTTCGACAGCATTGAAAGTTACTTGAACAGATTTGGAGGTACAAATCTATTTAAACAAAGATTTTAAAAAAAAAGATTTTTTAAATATGTCAAAGGTTGTTTTCACTGCAGACTATTCAGAATTTATACAACTTTTCGGTTTTCCTAGGTGTCAATGGAGCTTCCTGCCTTGAGCGCGCGATCTGTGAAGTTGCCGCAACTCCTGATCATGATGATGGAATACTAGGCAAATTTAAAATTTAATAACCAGGGAATAGGAAAAAAGGGAAATGAAATGGCGCTGGTCTGGCATGAGAAAGCCAGTCGCACTGCTTTGCAGACCAGTACGGTAAACTTTACACACACTCTTTTGGTACAGACACACAACATGATTACAGTCAAGGATATTGCAGAACAATGTTGTCCATTATAATTAAGCTTGAATAACGACTATATTTATTGTAAACTTTAATCAGAGCTGAAAACTTTAGAATGGTGGATATCGGGATTAAGGCTTAATCCACTCTTTTTCTTAATCTCGAGATTAAATATTGCTTGTTCTCCACTCATTTTTAATCTCCAGATTAATTATCCGATCAGGATTAAGGATATCCCATTCTAAAGTTTTCATCTCAAGTTATATTCTTTGCATGAAAATTTGGCTTATTATAGTGTTGACTTAAATATATAAATAATATATTACATGTATATTAAACTTATTTTTAAGTAAACAATTAACAATAAAACATTGAATTACTTTCAAAGCTGGTAAAAATTACAATTATAGTCAAAATACAAAAATGGCCAAAATATGGTTGGAATGTTTGATATGACCATTGAACAATATTACTATGGTGGAAGATACTTTTAAAGGGAGTGTCTGCCCAGACATGGTAGTTGAGCTGAGAGTACAGTATTGTGAAGTTTTTTTTTATAATCAATAGAGACCTTGTACGGTGTATATTTGCACAGTAAGAACACAACATCGATCTTTAAAATCCTTCTGGTGCTTACGAACAGTCAGATTGTGGCGCGGCACGACTGCAGACAGCGTTAATTTAAAAAATACAAGTAATCAAAATTATCATCAAAACTTACTAAGTTTGCAAACTGAAAATGGCCGAAAAGACCATTGATGCAATCAAAATCTAATAAAGCAAAATTAATTATAAAATTCTTGGTAATTTTGCAGTCTAAAAAATTGCTAAATTGATGTTAAGTATTCAATAATTGGAATATTTTTTTCTAATAACTGTTAAAAAATAATGTTAATCAAGGGGATGCTATGAACCTGCTGCTGAAGGTGGATAAGGAAGCATATGCAGAACATCCACAATATGCGCATGCGCAGCAGAAGGGAGAGGTCAGTCAAATATTGCTTGATTTAATAGAGCAAAATGGAAATCATTTTAAGTTTAACTAAGAAGGGGGAGATAGGGCTTGATTTTTGATTTTTGATTTTTGATTTTTGATTTTTGATCTTTGACATAAAACCAGTTATATTGTAAACAATAAACATTGTTTACAATAGACCCCCCCCCTTTCACTCTAATCAGTTAGCACCATGGTTAAAGCCATTTTTTAAATTGTAACATCTTTGTATTTGCGGGAAATGGGGGTGGGGGATGGAGAGTCCTAATTATACAAATAATAATGTTTAGATTGGCGGTGATTGCTCTGAATTCCACCGGGTGTGTCCTGTCTCCATCTTTAGTATCATTGATACTTTCCAGTCAGTTTAAACACCACATAGATACAGGGAAATAAATTAGAATATTATAAAACAGATTTTACAAATGTCGTAATGATAAATGATGCATGAGAGACCTTCAGTGTACAATCTCTTTTTATTACCATGAATAGTATGAAGATGCAATATGAGATGGGTTTAAAGAGAAAAAAACACCAAATTTGAAAGAAAGAAAAACAGATTTTTAAATTCAATTTTACTACATACATATCTTACTTCCTATTTTAGCTAATATCGATCGATAAACAAATCAAATTTCAAATTTAATATAATAATTTATATCTTGTATAATTAGATTGACGAAAACAAAATGTTAATCTCACCGACATAAAGAAATGGTAAGGTTAATTGTGTTTACATCGTTAATTATTTACATAAAGAATTAGACTTAAACTCATGGTTCTTTGCGGAATAAGTTTTAGCTTTTAGCTAAAGGAAAATTATTATTTTAAGCAGAATCCTTAGTTCACAAATCATGTCGTTTATATTTAAGGGTTTTATATGTATATTTACTATTACATGGAGATCTAATAAACATGGCGGTAAAGTGAGACGACATTTAAAGTTTTGTAATTAATGAAAGATGCAAAGGTGTAAAAAACGACAAATGAGCTTTCTAAAAGGTTGTCTTTCTTTCTTTGAATCCCTTGTTTGAATCTTATTCAAATTGTCAGGGATATTAAAATGAAATCAAAATTTGAAGTATACGAAAACTTAAATCATATTTTGGAAACCCAAAGAATAGATACAGCTGCCTAAGTTAAAATGCGTTATAAAAGGTGCCCATCAAGTCCTATACATTTAATTGGGACACCCTGTATACAGAATAAAAACCACTTATTCAAACTGAAATTGTAAAAACAAAACTTTTAATTTTAGACGTAGGACAGATACGCTTGAGAGCTCCTTATTGAAAGACTAAAGGTATGTATTTAAAACATGCTATATTGCAAGAACTGCATTTAAACGATGTTTTCTAAAGATTGAAAAGATTATTCTAAATGAAAATTTGCATAGTTACTAAGAAAACAATCTAAATAAAAGAATGAATATTGAATTGATGAATATACAATATAATTAAAAACAAACGTAATATTATTACATTAAAAAACGTAATAGTAAGAAGATGTAAAAATTGACTAGATTACATTAAAAATCTATATCTGAGAACACGAGCATCTACCATATTCCTTGAGTTAAGTTTATAGAATAAATTATAATATTATAAAAAAAAATGATTATTATGATATTATTTATTTGTATTTATTTCAATATTTAGACAAGAATGGACAACCTGGAAACCTGTACATACTCAGCATAGACAACCCCGACAATTTAATTTTAAGAAAAATCGTTTATTGTTAAATATGTCATGTTTTATTGTTATTTGTTATTTTTGCACTTGTTGAATAGGTAGATAAATAGATATTAGATAAATATATTATAAAACAGTTTTTTTGTTTTTGATTTTAAATATGTTCTTATGGCGTTTCTTATGTTCTAAAAATGTTTATTATTTTCTGAAAAGAATATATGTATATATAAATATATACGTATCTAAAAGTAGGGGTGTCTCACGAAATATTTGAGATACGAAATGGGTGTCGTCTTTGATATATACAAATAATTTGCGGCATTTAATTATTTTCTAGGCTTTTTGGGCATCTTCTATTTTAATTGTAAACATTTTCTCTTTGTATACATTTGTATAAATTCGGGGATTTTCAAAATTTTATGTAAATAGATTTTGTTGGAGGCCAATTTTGAAATTTTGTTTGTCCATAAACCTTCCCTAGGGTCACGTGATGTCACACACAAAATTTGGTCCCAATCAGTTCAACCCTTTTGACGTTTATTGGACACAAACAGACAGACTGACAGACAGACAAGCAAAGTGTATGGATAGATAGACTTAATTTTAGCTGTAAAATCTTTGAATTGATAACACAAACTTCTCCTAATTCTTACATTTCCAAATTGTGGTTTATCTACCTTTAAAGATTACCGGAGATATGAAAAATTTTATTCGAATTTCGTTTCAACGATATCGGTTTCAAAAACAAAATTAAAAACTGCACAAAGTTCTTTTAATATCTTTGGTGAATTTGAAATCATAAAAAAAAACAGAATACATTTTATTTGTAAATGTTTTCAAGAATCTTACATCTAAAAATAGGTTGACGAATTAAGGCCGAAAATTATCTCGAAAGATCAAAAGCGACCTTCAAGTCTTCTCTCTGCTGTCACGTTTCGGGGAACACCCTGTGAAATATGCATCATTTCCCGACAATTTATCTGTTTAAAATTATTTCAAATATCAAAAGCGACCTTCAAGTCTTCGCTCTGCTGTCACGTTTCGGGGAACATCCTGTGAAATATGCATCATTTCCCGACAATTTATCTGTTTAAAAAGCGACCTTCAAGTCTTCTATCTGCTGTTACGTTTCAGGTGAACATCCTGTGAAATATGCATCATTTCCAGACAATTTATCTGTTTAAAATTATCTCAAAGATCAAAAGCGACCTTCAAGTCTTCTCTCTGCTGTCACGTTTCGGGGAACACCCTGTGAAATATTCATCATTTCCCGACAATTTATCTGTTTAAAAAGCGACCTTCAAGTCTTCTCTCTGCTGTCACGTTTCAGGTGAACACCCTGTGAAATATGCAACATTTCCAGACAGTTTATCTGTTTAAAAAACCTAAGATGTTATGTAAGGATTGACAAAGTTCCAAAATTAACAGTTTTTGAAAATTAACGAACAATTCTGTTTAATCACGTATACGAACTAATTGTTATTTAATGACAAACGTTGATTCGATGGGCTTTTTACTGGAATTAAACATGACACCCAAATAAGGTCGTTTATGGGCCGGGCAATAAGCATGACTTCTTGAATTTTAAATATTTTTGTTTTGGTTAAAATAAGATAAAATAAGTAACAAACAATTTACATTTTTTATAACAACCAAACTAGTTTAATTTGGTTGATAAAGTTGAAGGGTACTTTTGGGAATTAGCAATGCCATATTGTGTTCGAATATTTAGTTGTGCTAAATATTCATCGTAAACTTTAAGGTAGAATTTGAACCTCATTGTTAAATTTTTCCTCTGAGATTGGATTCATTAAATGTGACATTTTTGAAAACAATGGTTGTAACTTTTTGGAGCAAAACTTCGGAATTTTTATTATATTTAGTATTTATAATATTCAGTATTTATAATATTTAGTATTTATTATATTCAGTATTTATAATATTCAGTATTTATAATATTTAGTATTTATTATATTTAGTATTTATAATATTCAGTATTTTAGAAAAACGCGTCACACTATATCCTGGGTAATCAAAACAAAATAAAAGCAAAAATATATTTTGATACGGCGTTAGGACATTATATTAATATAATGAAGACGACTTTTTTATTTAATTTTTAATAGCTTTTTTTCGAATTACAAGATTACAAGTAAATAAAGAGAACTTTCGTTAATTGACAGCTTCTCTTTGTTTCCATGTTTGTGTGTATCCATTAAAACAAATAAAAATTTAAATCCAACGTCGTCTTCATTATACTGATATAATCGCCTACCACCGTGTTTAAAAAGAATTTTTTAGAAAGTTACGAGAAATGTTGTATATACTTTTTATTAAATGAATTTCTCTAAAAACAAAATATTTTAGGGTATACATATACACTAGTTTAGGAACCCGGCGTCGCTTGAATATCTAAACTTTCCTTGTAAAAGTCAACCAAGACTTATAAACTTTAAACCCAACCAAGAACCTTTCCGTGGTTTTAACGAGTTGCCCAATCAAAATTCAATGCAAATCATTTAAGTGGTTTATGATTTACAATCGGACTATAAACACACATGTAGAATTTTCTGTTGTAATAATTAGTACGATCTTTATTATCCATGTTATTAATATATCTTATCTATTTTCAATGTGACCCTGACCGGCCAATCCGGTCAGTTTGATTTACCTGTATATATAAATAAATTAGTACTACATGAAACGTTGTGTTATACGGACGTATACAGAGCCTTGAGTTTGGGCTAGAGATTGAGAGCCTTGAGTTTTGGCTAGAGATAGAGTCAGTGAGACTGTAATTAGACTTTAAGTAGTGTAATCTCGGGACCTAGATTTATTACACACAGACAAACATACATCCTTTAAACCTTAATTACTTTAAATTGTTTATAAATTCCTTTAAAATCTTCATGCATTTTCACTGTATTGCTTTAAATTGTTTATACATTCCCTTAAACCTATATTAACAAACTTATATACATATTCTCTATAAACCTTCATTATTTTAGATTGTTTATACATTCCCTTAAACCTATATTGACAATCTTATATACACTATAAACCTTCAATATTTTAGATTGTTTATACATTCCCTTAAACCTATATTAACAATCTTATATACACTATAACCCTTCATTATTTTAGATTGTTTATACATTCCCTTAAACCTATATTAACAATCTTATATACACTATAAACCTTCATTATTTTAGATTGTTTATACATTCCCTTAAACCTATATTAACAAACTTATATACACTATAAACCTTCATTATTTTAGATTGTTTAAACATTCCCTTAAACCTATATTAACAATCTTATATACACTATAAACCTTCATTATTTTAGATTGTTTATACATTCCCTTAAACCTATATTAACAATCTTATATACATATTCTCTATAAACCTTCATTATTTTAGATTGTGAACACAACTCCATTGAACTTTAATCGCTTTTAAAATCATGGATTTTTCCCTATGCTCATGACTTTTTAAGTTGCCTTCCATTTATAGATTGGAATGTCCGATTCACAACTGTTTTTAAACCTGTATCCAGTCATGAGATATTCTTGCATTTTTAGCTGAAAATTGATAATTGTCTATTGTATGTTCTGTGTAAAAGTGACTTTACCCATTAGAGAAGTTGAAGGAAATCTTTAGAATAATACACTTCTAAAAATATTAAAAAGTGTATATCTATGCTAACCCTAATGAAAAGGAAGATTTAAGTTGTAAGTCGAACATTCCACTTTTTTATTGAAGAGTCTCTCTAAATTCCACCGACAGTCCCTTTAAAATCCAAATAACGTTTAGTTTTTGTATACATTTCCTTTAAACCCAGAGAACTTTTGATTGTGTACACATTCCTTTTAAACCTACCCTATTCATAAATCTTCCCTTCTTTATTTACTTTAATCCCCCCTAGTTTACAGCAAACATTATATTCACAAATTAAATTTTGCAATTTTAATTTCTATTTCTATTGAGTATTTGTCCGAGCCCCTGGAGAAATGCATATTTAAGATGATGTGAGGAGTATGCTTGGATTGCAGTTAGAATGCAGCTCCTCAGCTTTCTGGTCCTTTCCATACTCAGGAACCCGCACACATTTATTTTTTACATATCTTCATCTTTGTTTCGAGTTTTAAGGATGGAAGTTTTACGTAGAGCAAGGTTATAATGCATTATAACCTTGGCGTAGAGTATAGTTAAAGGGACTGTAAAAAGTAGTTAAAGGAAAAATGAAAGGGGTGAGTTGATCGAGACCCATAAGAGTTCTATCTGATTTTCCGTCTTGAGAAATTGATATAAAACTTTGTCAAATTTATTCGAAAAATTATGTATATACAATTTTGTATAAAAATCGTAGGTTAAAACAGATTATAGTCAGCAAATACGCAACCATTCTGAAAATGACAATATCCCAGAGAAGCCTGGAAAACTTAGAATTCCTCCTATTATTATTTGAATTTGATAATTTTTCATTTTTAATATATTTATAATTAATAATATAATAAATACGTCACATGACCAGAACTCCCACCAATAGCAGTGCAGTATTATAGTCACATGTCTCCGTCTGTGTCACTTTTACTTTTTCATTTTTCCTTTTAAATTTGAGGATAGATGATCTCTTAATTAAAATTATCTCTACAAGGTGTAACCACCACAGAATATTGGATTCACAATATTGGATTCTGATTTCTGACAACATCTTTATGTGGTTTTGCTATTATCTGGTTCCATATTATGTTGGATTGTCTCCTACAGTGAGAACCAGAATACAATGGATTAGGAAGATATTATTATATTAATACTTGATTTTCATGTTGTTACAAAGTAAATCTGGCCACTTATTAGTGAAATGGGTCTGTTTACACTGCACAATTGCCATGTCTACTCCTAATTCTAAAAGTTTTCTTTCTATTTCTGGTCTGGTTATCACCAAAATACAAACTGAATATTTCAAAATTTCAAAAATATTTCCGGCCCCTCCTGCATGTAAATGATATACAAAAAAAATGGTTCATTAATGCGATTAAAAATCTAAGAGATGTAAAACATAATCTTATTTTTGTTAATTGTTTCTTATTCTCAAATCTAAATGCGTAAATGTGGGTGTGTCTGAAAAAGTGTTGAACAGGGGCGTTCCTTCAACACTATTTGTGGTTCTAAGAGCAATGTAAACAGTACTGCAAACCTGGATCATAGAAGATATAAACGCGCTTTCGATTTGGCGTACGATTTGTCATTATGTAAGCAATTTTATTAACCATTATGTACGCAATTATATTAACCATTATGTAAGCAATTATATTAACCATTATGTAAGCAATTATATTTAACATTATGTAAGCAATTAAATTAACCATTATGTAAGCAATTATATAACTTGTAAAGTAAGCAATTATATTAACAATTATTTAAGCAATTACATTAACCACTATGTAAGCAATTATATTAACTATTATGTAAGCAATTGTATGAACCATTATGTAAGCAATTATATTATCTTTTATAAACTTTGCCTGATCTCGAAACTTACAAGAGAACAATAATTGAAGGAAACTCCTCAGCTTCCTTTTCAGGGTCTTAACATTTGTGTAGTAATTGATTTCACAGATTCAAAAAATGGAGAATATGAAGAAACTAAAAAATAAATCTTAAGACCTCATATAACATAAAATAATTAAAACATGTGTTTACTAATTCAGCTGCAACCGTTCTTCTGATAGTTCCCCTTCCTGATCTAGGAACTAGTCTGGTTGCTAGTTTACCTTTCTCATACGATATTGCATCATCTTCAGGAGCTGCTGCAAGCACTGGCAGGTATATATTGCATCATCTTCAGGAGCTGCTGCAAGCACTGGCAGGTATATATTGCATCATCATCAGGAGCTGTAACCACTGCCAGGTATATATTGCATCATTTACAGGAGCTGCTGCAAGCACTGGCAGGTATATATTGCATCATTTACAGGAGCTGCTGCAAGCACTGGCAGGTATATACTGTATCATTTACAGGAACTGCTGCAAGCACTGGCAGGTATATATTGTATCATTTACAGAAGCTGCAAGCTTTTGATATATATATTGCATCATTTACAGGAACTGCTTCAAGCACTGTCAGGTATATATTGTATCATTTACAGGAGCTGCTGCAAGTACTGGCAGGTATATAATGCATCATTTACAGGAACTGCTGCAAGCACTTGCAGGTATATGTTTCATCATTTACAGGAACTGCTGCAAGCACTAGCAGGTGTATATTACATCATCTACAGGAGCTGCAACAACTGCCAGGTATATATTGCATTATTTACAGAAGCTGTTGCAAGCATTGGCAGGTGTATATATTGCATCATTTAAAGGAACTGCGGCAAGCACTGGCAGGTATATATTGCATCATCTACAGAAGCTGCAAGCTTTGGCATATATATAATGCATCATCATCAGGATCTGCATTCACTGGCATGAAAATATTGCATCATCTACAAGAGCTGCATTAGCTATCAAATTGACAGAATTACAAATCAAAATAGAAAAATCTGTTTTATTTCTGCAGAAATTACTAAATAAATTTTGAAATCGCTGGTTTTAAGTTTTTAGATTAAATTAAAACTCCAGCTTCTTTCTTTCAAGTAATTGTATATTTGCGTTATTAGTCCCTTTGTAATGTTTAGATCATTTGATGAATTGGAGAGTAAACGTGTCAGCTCTGTGGCTCATAAGAAATCAATGATTAGGGGAGTTCAGGATATTCTAGGCAAATTTGCAGGTAAACTGATTCAATTCTGTTCAATTAAATATTTTAAATAGATAAAAATACTACTTTCGGGTTGGAGAGCATCAGTTTTCTCAATGTTTTTCTTGTAATAACCCCCCCCCCTCTCCCAGCACTAAAAACTGCAATATTAAAGTATAAAATATTAAAAACTGTGCAATTATTATTATTAAAATTTTTTTATTATATTATAAAATTTATACTTTAACACATCGATCCAGACAGCCCACAATTTGTGCATATATATATATGACTACACACTAAATTGCCTAGAACCCGAGGGAATGCATGTGCAGTACAATTACAGGCATATCCTTGTACCGGTTCGGGTAATACAACAATGAGACCGAGATATATATATTTATAAAAAAAATCAATTTTTTTAGATGCTCCTTACTGTCTTGAGAGAACTATTTGTGAGATTGCTGCAATGCCAAACCATGCTGATGGAATTATGGGTAACATACAGGGTGTCCCACGAAACATGAGAGTAGCAAGACAATTTGCGACATTAATTCCTTGAACAAATCATTTTTTTTAGAGGTTCAAGTTCATAATCACAAAATACCCCTAATCTTGGCATTTCTAATATGTGCGCTGCTTTTTTGTGCTTTCAATATTCCCGGAGATATAAAATATTTAGTTCAAATTTCGATAATTTTCGTTATATTTAGTAAAATTGAAATCTGAACGAAATTCCTAATATCTCAGATGATATTGACAGTAAAAAAAGGCAGAGCACGTTTTGGAAATACAAGGAAAAGGAAAATTTTGTGGCTTTTGTAAAAGTAGGTTGACAACTAAAGTAGATTGACGGCTACAGCAGGTTGACAACTAAAGTAGGTTGACATCTAAAAAATATTAATTTCAAAGACTTAAAAGTTATCTTGCTACTGTCATGTTTCGTGGGACACACAAGATATTTTTTTTCTTTCTTTTAATAAAAAAAATATATTTGTCAAAGATACATCGATCACTTTTTAGGGGTCCTGCTTAAACATCAGTGAACCTCAACTTTGGAACCTATTTCCATCCGTTAAATAAATATTTTTTGCATTTGGCATTTTGTACATTTTTGTTTGACTATATATTTGAGAAATTAAAGTATAGTAGGTTTTTATACGCTTTTTTACGGATTTTGACTATAAGATAAAATATGATTAGTAGTCCACTGTTTTTCGGTTACCATTGTAGATTCATATCATGTATATGCTTAAAAAATATATTGCCAAAAATATGTGAAAAATGATAAATCGGCTAAAATGTCTTTTATTCTTTTTTTTGATTTTTTTATCGTTAGTTGAACCAAGTCGATATATAACTAAAAACCGGAAATATTTCTGATCGATAACAATTTTCTGTTTTGTAAGGTGATGTGCTGAACAGATTTATAGAAATGGAAGAGGAATTGTTCCTAGAATATCCTGAGTATATCGAGGCAAATAATGTCGGACAGGTTGGAACCTGGGAGTATGGAAGAGAAGGTCGAGATACAACTGACGCGGTTCGCCCTACCATTTGATTATACATGCTTTGCAGACGGGTTCGCCCTACCATATGATTGATTATACATGCTTTGCAGACGGGTTCGCCCTACCATATGATTATACATGCTTTGCAGACGATACTTCATTTGAATAAGAAATATTTGTCTGATGTACAGGGTGTCCCATATTATATTAGATCGTCATGATGGGTCTAAATTACTTTTTTCGGCACTAACAAGAAATTATAAGAAGAATAAATCATTTCATAAAATTGTATAAGGTTTATATAAAAATTTTCCTGTAGACAATTTTAGGTTTTTCGAGTATTATGTGTTTATTATGGCTTTAAGGCTTGGAGTTAATTTAATATGATATGGGACGCTCTGTACAATTACCGCGTATACAATAACCTATTTTTAATATTTCTTATACAAATGGAGTACCCGTCTGCAAAGCATGTATAATCATATGGTAGGGCGAACCGCGTCAGTTGTATCTCCCTTCTATTCCATACTCCCAGGTTGGTACTAAATATACATTTACAGAAATGCCCTATACGATTAACACAGAAATCTAAAAATCTTTCTATTCAGTCAAGATATCCTTGTTTTCTATGTCTTTTGCCTATATTGCTTCACATTAACTTGCAGAATTGAACAGGAATGAAATATGGAATACAAAAAAGAAGATTTTTTAATTTTGGACAAATAATTTACTTATTATCAGATATAGGTTTGTTAAAAGGTTGGAGTTGTTAATCGTGAATGGCATTAAAGGAATAAAAAGTTCAATATTAGTATTACTTTTAAACTCTCTTTAGCATTAGTAAAATTTGTGAAGGTTTTTTCACAATATTGTGGCGAATTTTGGTGCAAAAATTTCAAATAATAACTTAAACTTAAAAAGGCTGAAAAAAAACTCTTTCTTAATAATTAAAAAAAGAGTACCATGTTTGATTCACAAGGGTACCCATAAAATCTTTGTCTGAACAAGATTACATGATCCAAAAAAATTTTAAAAATTTTCATTTGTGGATTCTTTACAAAAAATAACATTTTTGTAAATCCTTTCTATAAGCTAATACACGACGATATCTTCCACATTATTATTTAGTAAAAGACTTTACAGGGTTCGCTATCTTTTTCAATGCTTTCAATGTTATGCTCAAATTTGCATCCTAATCTTCTAGTAAAATATCAAAGAAAAAAATAATATTTTTCATCAGTAATGTTAATTTTTTTTAAAAGAAAAAAATTTAAGTTTATATTTTAATGATATTTTTAGCTGAGCGGTGATTGTTCTGAATTCTACACAAGGTGTCCCAGTTCCATCTTTAAGATAATAGACACTCTCCAGTCTACATAAAATATTCGCTTAATCTTTTTATTTTGTTTAATGTAGACACTCTTCAGTCTACATAAAATATTAGTTTCATTATTTTTATGTTGTTTAAAGGACACTCTTCAGTCTACATAAAATATTCGTTTCAATATTTTTATTTTGTTTAATGTAGACACTCTCCACTCTACATAAAATATTAGTTTCATTATTTTTATTTTGTATAATGTAGACACTCTTCATTCTACATAAACTATTTATTAATCGGTAAAATATATTTGTACAATGTACATATGCTGGAGGATAATTTATTTTTCAACATTTTGATCTGAATTGGTATTGTTGCCAGTAGTAAAGATTTTTAGTACTGTCAAATATTATCATTTTATGAGATGTGTTTCGCAATCCTTCTTTATTTTATTGATTTGTATCAAAATCATTTTCAGTTCTCTCATGATAATTTGTTCACTTTTTATGCACTTTTTATGCACTTTTTATGCACTTTTTATGCAAATGTATATTGAAATATATAATGAGCAAAGATATGTTTCATTCATTTTTAAACTTAAGTTTTTTTAAATGCTCAAAATTTATTTGATAAGCACAGGAAATTATATCTTATCTTTTTAAAAGGTCGTGAAGTATCCTGTACATAAAATTGATATATACGAAATTTTTATTTTAATAAAAAAAAAACATTTTTGTCTGTCAATGCGTCTTTGGAATATAATGTTCATAAAATTACATTTCTTTCATGAAATGTCCCAGCACGACATTAAGAAATAACTAAAATAGAAATTTTACATTTTCCATCTTATAAGTTGAATTTATTTTGCGTAAATATTTTCATGGATTTGATTAAATTAAAGTATTTGATTGTATTCCTGATTAATGAATCTTCTCAAGTATGTTTGATTGATTTTAATATATCAACCTACATTAGAACTTAATTGGAACTTAATTATCCAAATCCAGAATAATTAGTTCTAATTTTATATTCAATATTCAATGCATAACGATTTATCTGTCAACGTGCGTTCGTCGGTTTATATATGTCCGTCAATCCATTTGTCTTTTTTGTTAGGTATGTTAGTTTTAAAGTCTCTGCACTCACTACTCATTATATAGTCCTGTTAGTGCAGTACATTATCTATACCATTTTTTAATTATAATTCTCTATTTATCTGTTTATCTATCTATCTATTCTATATATCCATCTTTTTTATTTTCAGTTTCAGTTTTTCAAACCATCTTCTATCTATCTATCTATCTATCTATCTATCTATCTATCTATCTATCTATCTATCTATCTATCTATCTATCTATCTATCTATCTATCTATCTATATATCTATCTATCTATTTATCTATCTATCTATCTATCTAGTGTTGAATCAATGAATTTGCACAAACAATTATGTAAACCTGACCAAAATACATTATTTTAATTATTATTATTGCCAATTAACATCTTGAGAATACAACAGGAAACTGTTGCCCTGCTATGTACTTTAAAAAAGGAAAAGGGGCGCAAAAAAGGAAGAAAAACTAAATTGAAATGCATGGCGCTCAAAAAATTTTTTTTTGTAAATCAAAGGGGGGGGTTTAAAAATTCTGTAAAAAATGTCCTTTTTTACCCCTTGATAGAACTGTAAATTATATGTTAACGATCCATGAGAGATAAAAATTACGCAACATTAGGCAAAACTATTGCACAAACCACCTTACACATTTTAAAATAATAAAAATTGCAAAAAAGAAGGTGACGAGGATGAATTCTTCTGCAAAAAAGAAGGTGACGAGGATGAATTCTTCTGCAAAAAAGAAGGTGACGAGGATGAATTCTTCTGCAAAAAATAAAATTCTTCAAGAAACAAAAAAGATATTTGTAAAAGTAAAAGTTTGACTTTTAATGACATTAATGACATTAAAGTATCGATTTAATGATATTTGACATTAAAGTATCGATTTAATGATATTTGACATGAAAGTATCGATTTTTAAAGGAATCGAATCTTTGTAACAAAATTAAATATTTAAATCCCAATATGTTTAGAACCTGATGTTGTAAACCTTTGATATTTCAAACTCTGATTATTTGATTTAACAGATTAGAACGATTAGAAACACTTACTATTATGTATTTCATATTCTATCTTTCTTTAAATTAAATGAATTAAAAAACAATTCAGGATAAAACATTTTATTAAATTCTTTCCTTTTGACATGATTGAGTAATGCTTTCATTGATATAAGATTTAAAGATATATTTTATTCTTTGATGATTTAAGGGAGAAACAAAATCTTCGAAAATCTGTAAAGTCTGAAAATTAAAAAAAAAAATTTCATCGATTTTGATGGTTATTATATCGTTAGAACTGACGAGGGTTAACCCAGACCGAAATATATTTTCAATAAATGTGGAACTAACATCTGATATTTTTACTCTACAGAGGTTTGGTCCATCACCATCACTGAATTTTAAATCTGTAAAATGAGTTTGGAAAAATTATAGCAAGTGTGGTTTTGTATAGTTTTGGATAGCTGAGAATTTAATGGTTTGGGGTGGTTTGGAGTGGTTTGGGGTGGTTTAGGGTGGCTTAGGATGGCGTAGAATGGTGCAGGATTATGCAGGATGGTTAAGGATGGTTTAGGATGGTTTAGGATGGTTTAGGATGGTTTAGGATGGTTTAGGATGGTTTAGGATGGTTTAGAACGGTTAAGGATGGTTTAGGATGGTTTAGGATGGTTTGTAATGGTGCAGGATGGTTTAGGATGGTTTATGATGTTTTAGGATGGTTTAGGATGGTCTACGATGGTTTAGAATGGTTTATAATGGTTTAGGATGGTTTAGGATGGGGTTGGATAATTTAAGATGGTTTAGAATGATTTAGGATGGTTTAGAATGGTTTAGGATGGGGTTGGATAATTTAGAATAGTTTAGAATGGTTCAGGATGATCAAGGATGGTTTAGGATGTATTAGGATGGTTTAGAATGACTTAGAATGGTTTAGGATGGTTTAGGATGGTTTAAAATGGTTTTGAATGGTTTAGAATATTATGAAAGGCTTTGTGTGACTAAGAATGGTCTGGAATGGCTTAGGCATGGTTCAGATGGTCTTTGATGGCTTAGGATGGTTTAGAATGATTTAGAATGATTTAGGAGGGTTAAGGGTGGTTTAAGATGGTTTAGGATGGTTTAAGATGGTTTAGGATGGTTTAAGATGGTTTAGGATGGTTTAAGATGGTTTAGGATGGTTTAAGATGGTTTAGGATGGTTTAGGATGGTTTAGGATGGTTTAGGATGGTTTAGGATGGTTTAGGATGATTTAGGCTGGTTTAAAATGATTTAGAATGATTTAGGCGGGTTTAGGATGGTTTAGGATGGTTTTGGATGGATTAGGATGGTTTAGGATGGATTAAGATGGCTTAGGATGGTTTAAGAGGTTTAAGATGGTTTAAGATGGTTTAGGATGGATTAGGATAGCTTATGTTGGTTTAGAATGGTTTAGAATGATTTTGAATGGTTTAGAATGGTTTAGAATGGTTTAGAATACTTAAAGAAACAGGAAAGGTTAGGAACGTTTAGGTGAATTAAATAATTCTATGATGACGTACTTAATAATATTTAGGAGGATAAAATAGTAAAAGTATTTTTTT